TTGCATATTTACAGGTATGTTAAGTTTAATTTACATATCCCATAAAATTATTTGATATATGTTTTTGCCTATATTACCAGAAGTAAGCTGCATGACAAATGTACTGCATACATGAATGCCTACTTTTAAGTAGATAACTTGTATGATATACATTATGTTAATACATTTGTTCCTTTTTCTCTTCTCAATAGGTAACATATATGTACTTAAATTTTATTTCCTGTTTGTATTAAATAGATGTGTCAGTTTTCACATTAATATATAACACTCTGAATTTAACTCAATACAAATTTTTTAAAAACTTTTCAAGAACTGTACCTTTTTTCCAAATTAGTAGATAAATGTTAATACATTATGTATAAATAATCTAAGAATAAAAATCACTTTTCCAAACTATTTGTGTAACATCATTACATCTGATTTTTAATACAGAAAAGATAATATTGAAAACTTAGGACCAGAAAAGTATTTAAGTAAAGGTAATTCACATGATTAAAAACCAGCATTATACTTTGGCAACATTGAAGTAACTTACTGTTTCCAAAACAGTAACATATTTCCATAAATCTGATGTGGAAGATTGACAATGAAAAAAAATTCAACATATTAATAAATTTTCGATAGATTTAAACAATGTGTTTAATTAGTGAGTAACAGTCTAGGTATATATATATATATATATGAGGTAGGGGCACATGAGCAACTTCACTAATTATATATATCACTAATTCCAAAATACACAGATATTTGTAATGTTTTTTCATGTTACATTATATACATATAAATGTAAGTCTCGGCGATGCATCACCATGACATTTTCACACCTCCTTCATTCTGATGAAATATAACTAAATGTCGCCAAGACATTTTATGTTTTCTCAACAAGATCAGCTTTCCCATAGATAAATCTGAACTGCATCAGTAGTTTTAATATATTTATATCATTACACTCACTTACACATGACTGTGAATATGACCTTTGGAGTCATTTTAGATCATTCATAACTGTTGTGTATCTAGAGGTAGATCTATTTTTACTAAAACTTATGTACATATTAAATTACCTCAAATAAAGTACAATTTTCCTATATTTCAAAAAGGTTGTCAAAATTATCATTTCCCAATAAATCAGATTTTCTATTCAAGTTTTAAAATATCAAACAAACTTGAAATATTGAGTTTTGGGGTAAATATAAATGGTTGAGAAAGACCTATATAATGTATGGCTTTTTCATCATAATCGGCTGGACAGGTGCAATTTCTAAACTGCATGTGACTAAGAGTCTTGGTTTTATAATTTTGTTGCCAATTAACTCTATTTTATTTGGCAATAGCCCATGTCTGGTAATAAGCCCCCATCCCTCCTCCATGTGTAGCACTCTTAAGTAAATTAATGTTATTTCATTGTCCTGTCATATGCCCCCCTCTTCCTCTATATGTAGCATTCTTCAGTAAAATCATGAATAAATACCATTTTCTTTTCTTGTAGTAATTCCACCCCTGACTTTGAGTTATCAGCAATACATTGGTGCCATAGTAAATTTTTATTTGAACTTAATTTACCTGAGACCATTTAACCTCTAAGACAGACACTGCAAAGCTTCATTATTAATTTTTCTTCAGGTTAGTTATTGACTTTTTGAAACTTGAGAATTGGTCAAGATGGACCCAGACGGTCATGACATATTTCTTTCCTCAAGCTATTAGAGGTTTATGTTAGCAAACCAAGTTTAGATTGGTTTTGGTTTGAATTTACATTGCATAACTCCTATCAACAGTGTTTTGTCATTTAATGACTGAAGATGACAATATAAGGAAGTGAGAATAACCCAAAAAGACAGTGTAGGAGGTGATATCACAGTATAGACCTGACAGCCACTTTTCCAGGGTCATAGAATAATTATCTATATCAAGTATTAAGTCAATGTAAGACTGAAGATGAAATCATAATGTGCAAAAGCGGAAAGTAAGCAATGGAAAAACAGACAAATTTAAGTTATAAATCAACTCAGTAATCAATATTTAGGTGGGGAAGTAAGGGTCAGTATAGAAGTCTTAGGCCTTGTAGAGAGTTTGTAGAGTTTATGTTACAAGTATACAGTACAGCTTGACCTATATATAGTTTATAGAAGTGTTCTCTAACCCTCAACTGCCCTTATAATCTATCATGTTTCACCATGCAACTGTCACAACATCAAAGAAAAACAATATGACACCATCAAATATTCCATTTTTCCTGTTTTTTTATTAAGTGTATAAAAAGTGTGGAGCAGTATTTGTCTAGATACATGTTTCATGTACAATTCTTTATATCAAACATCTACAGTATAAATGTTAAGAGCACACAGATATACTACAAATTGGTCAATGTGAACACAGAAGGCTAACACATTTTTAGCACTCTGGTTATTGTAAATACACAAACCTAACACTTCTTTACCAATGGTCAGTGGAAATATACAAATCTAGCTCATGTTTGGTGCTGGTAAATGTAAATACACAAGATTAGTACCTATTTAGCACTGGCTAGTGTGAATATGTAATGCGTGCAGCTCTTTAACACTCAAATCAATGTAGATAAATACATGTAAGGCTAACACCTCTTTAGCATTGTTCAGTGTGAATACACAAAGCAAGCACCTCTGTAGCACTCAGATTAGTATGAATACACAAGGCTAGAGGTTCTTTAGCTCTGCTCAGTGTGAATACACAAGACCAGAGGTTCTTTAGCAATGGTCAGTGTAAAAACACAGTGCTAGCACTTCTTTAGCAATGGTCAGTGTAAAAACACAGCGCTAGCACTTCTTTAGCAATGGTCAGTGTAAAAACACAGCGCTAGCACTTCTTTAGCAATGGTCAGTGTAAAAACACAGCGCTAGCACTTCTTTAGCAATGGTCAGTGTAAAAACACAGCGCTAGCACTTCTTTAGCAATGGTCAGTGTAAAAACACAGCACTAGCACTTCTTTAGCAAGGGTCAGTGTAAAAACACAGCGCTAGCACTTCTTTAGCAATGGTCAGTGTAAAAACACAGCGCTAGCACTTCTTTAGCAATGGTCAGTGTAAAAACACAGCGCTAGCACTTCTTTAGCAATGGTCAGTGTAAAAACACAGCGCTAGCACTTCTTTAGCAAGGGTCAGTGTAAAAACACAGCGCTAGCACTTCTTTAGCAATGGTCAGTGTAAAAACACAGCGCTAGCACTTCTTTAGCAATGGTCAGTGTAAAAACACAGCGCTAGCACTTCTTTAGCAATGGTCAGTGTAAAAACACAGCGCTAGCACTTCTTTAGCAATGGTCAGTGTAAAAACACAGCGCTAGCACTTCTTTAGCAATGGTCAGTGTAAAAACACAGTGCTAGCACTTCACAGTGCTAGCACTTCTTTAGCAAGGGTCAGTGTAAAAACACAGTGCTAGCACTTCTTTAGCAAGGGTCAGTGTAAAAACACAGTGCTAGCACTTCTTTAGCAAGGGTCAGTGTAAAAACACAGTGCTAGCACTTCTTTAGCAATGGTCAGTGTAAAAACACAGTGCTAGCACTTCTTTAGCAATGGTCAGTGTAAAAACACAGCGCTAGCACTTCTTTAGCAGTGACTGGTAAGCATGAATACACAAGACTTGCAGCTCTTTAGCATTTTTACTCTGAATACAGAGTTAAAGTAATAGCTATTTCCTTCTTCATAAAGCCTGAATCAAAGGAGTGGAATGAAAGACATATTACAACTGAAAATGTTACCTAGTATGTTAGTATTAATGACCAATCATGAACATATATTTTACATCTTTGTTATTTCAGTTGATAATTTGCCTGACATTTAACTGCAATAATATTAATCAAACAAGATATAATTCTAGGTATGTCATATAATGGTTCAAGACAAAGTTGGTCTTTTACACAACTGATCCTGCAGGTTTTAGAAATGATCTATTTATTTATTCCATTCTTTCCTTGGTGTAGCTCAATGTAGGACTTTTCTTATTTAGCACAATATTGTTTTTCATTACAACCAGAATTGGTAGAACCAGTGTCTATTTCAGGAAGAAAATACAATTCAATGAATGTTTAATGGAACAAAATAGAAGTGATTATCAGTCAGAAGTAATAAATTCATAACACGTTTGTACTAACTTTTTACATGCTTTGCTAACAAATGTATGCCCTGCTATTAAAAAGATGCCTAAGTGAGAATGTGTTCATAAAGGATGAGGTAGGGTAGGTACACCTTGGGTAGTTATTGGTCTGTCTGTAAAAACCAGCTATGGTAGACAAACCAGCTCATAAATACCATGCATGGGAGAGATCAAATATTGTCTAAATGTTACAAGTATACACTGGTCTATCGAGGTAGTCCTTGATATATTATTTATAAAAAAGGCTTTCAGCACTTCAAGACAATAGTTTTTTTACTTTGGATTGGCCTCAAGGTATAGAGGTAACCTCAAAAGGTATGTCACAGATCAAACACAGCATGATCAAGTAGGATTGAATGTTTAATCCGAATATCAATTTCAAAAGTGGTAATTACACCAACAGGTCTACAATAACCTAAAATGAAGTCTAAGGAAACAAACTCTTATGATAGAAGAGGAAAAGGACAAATTATCAATGATGAGTTTAACACAAGTCACTGAAAATGTCCTACAACTGTTTAGTAACAGATATTGTCAGAAAGCAATATCTTTTTTTCAGGTATTATGTACAAAATCTCTGTGTATATATATATATGTGCAATTATTTCAGTTTCAAAAGAACATGAGAACAAATTTAGAGTTTCTGATGATACTGAGATACCTGCAAGCTGTCCACATTCCAGCTTTGGAACAGTGTTCAAATAAGTGTTACCAAACCTCATCATATCTTTGTTAGAACAGGTAAAGTAAGACTCAAAGATCCATTATAAGACTAGTGTACAAGCCATTTTTGCAAATTTTGTAAGTGCTGTCTCATACATGTGTGCATATACTAACGCTGAGAAATCTGTTAAAGAGAATAGATATATACCTTCCAAAAGTTGTTTTTAATAAACAGCAGCATGTTGAGTAGCTTGACCTCTCGCTTGTAACCTTTCTCCCTGACAAAAAGTAGATCTAGCAAGTGTGATCCAACATGCTGGCCCATGTCTGAGAGTCTTAAAAGGAAGAATATAATAAGCAATAGCTATTCAAGAATGTGAGGTTCTTAAACTGAACATTCATCTAGATCTACAGTATAAGCAGTTACTACTAATCTATAAATGTATATAAAAATCAGCATCTAGAAATATTATGTCTCAAACAAAATGAAATGAAATCTGTCCTTTACCCACTGTTAAGCAAAACATTATGACAGCATTTTTGCTTTCCTGAATTTATTTGACTTAGTTTTTAAACATATATACAAGTACACAAAACATCAACATCACAATAACTGTGCAATACTGTAACAAGCCAAATACTTTTTTTCGCTTCTTGAAACACTCTCAGGTTAACCAAAATTTCTCGTTGTTTTATTTTTTTGATACTTTTAACTGAGAATGTCATAGTGACATGAAAGCTTTGCTCTTTCCTGGCACTGCCTGACTCATACCATATCATATATCGGGTAAGAGAGGGGTATTTCAATATTGTCTATTGATGTAAGTCAGGCTGTCAGTGCAATATATTTTCCTTAGTTTTGTATATAAGTTGCACGTTTAATTTTACTACTACAATGCCATAGTTTTGTTGACATTGGTTAAACACACACTGCCAAGCGGCATGTGGTACATCCACTCAAGTGATTACTACCGGTAGGTGTGCATGGTTAAAAACGATTTCGCATACATCACAATGCATTCCAGTCTGATTCTCGAATATCTTTAAAATAAGGTAAATACATTTCAGTAACCGATTAATCACTCACTTGTTCTGTAGTTCTGACACACTGTACACACGATTCTGGCTGTACTGGACCATTTCCGAGAACAGCAGAGCAAACGTTGCTACATTTACCTGCAAATATACAATATGTGTTCTTAAACTTAATTACATATAGACTTTGTATCCATAAAACATCATTTAAAATATGCGTGTATATAAATAAACTACCGCATACCTCTGGTTTCCCTCTACCGAGAGGTTTATCTAGATTGCTTGACTTCTGTTTTGTTATGGTCGACATCTTGGAACGGAAGTGGAACTCTTTTTTCGCGTGACGGCAATAAATTTTCGCGGGAATTTTAATGTTTATAGTAGGATTATTAAAAATCATACCAAGACAGAGAAAATAATTGTCATTAAAAAATAACGCTATTTACTGCAAATTCAGAACATGATACATAAGAGCCAATCAACGTTTTGAGCACTTTATGTAGATCTCTGTTCTTATAATCATTTTACTTCTTCTAAGTAGCATAGAGGAAAGATACACCCCTGACTGGGAGGTCATACTAATGTAAAACGAGTCAATGAAACTACCATGACATGTATTCCATAAAATATTGGAAGAGAAAATAGAAAGAAGTTCGGCCATGTTGTAGTAAATACCCTTTGTTAATAACACGTTTAACGAAACATTTCATTTCAAATCATCTGCCTGAAAAAAAAAATCCACTGCCTGAGCAAGCCTGACTCAACTAAATGACTTTATAAGCCCATTAGAAAATGTATCAGATATCCAAGGACAGGCAGTCATTCTTTCACTCTTATTGATACCTTATTAATAAGAATATACTGTTTGATCACTGCTCATCCATCAGGTGCCATATGAACACTGCTGCCCACGCGCATGTAATCTAATTATATTTTTTTAGATAAATCAGTCATGTATTCTATTACTACTTCCCTTTCATCATCTAAACGGATTTCACTTATGATAAGTATGCGAAGAATTCATCAATTAACGATGTACCTAGCAAGCAGACCTTTGAAAAAAACATGGTTAGTTAGAAGTTTAATTTCGACTGTCTAAATTTTAATTGAATATGTTATCATAACCTTATGACATTTCCTGTGAAAGTGAAAATCCGTATACGACCTGTTTAATCAATATTTGTTTGAAAATGAGATTTGTTTACGAAGTCATTAACAAATTCCCGAATCTAGGAACGTAACACCATCTCATAGAGTGGTAAATCAAGATTATACACAAGGCCGAATACAGGACTACTACACTCAGTATTGATACCACTACCCAATAATGAACGCCAGAATCACTGGCATGTTTCCCAACCCTTTCACCATTAAGAATTTAAATATTGATCTTAAACAAAACAAAAAAGTTACTGAATTTTATCAATTACCAATTATGACTTTAAAGAAATCTTCAAACGAAACCTTAGACAATTTTTGATATTTTCACATTTTATCATATAAATGACTGAACCGATTGCCCTGAGAAAGACGCTGTTATCATATTACCTGTTTTAGTTTTACTTCCCTTCTTAAAGTGACACTAAAAGACATCTAAAAGAAATGTCAGTTGAAATATACCACTTATCCCTCCTAACGACCTAACGAATGATGCTAACTTGGTACTGTGATCAGTGGGATTTTTTGGTTATCACGGGGGGAGGGGGAAGAGAGAGAGGGGGGGTCATAGTTTCAGGTCTGGCACCAAAGAAAACAAGGTAAGACATCGTAGACAATTAATCTTATACAAAACCTGAAATACGTTCGAAGGCCTCAGGTACTCTGAATATCGATCTGGCGTCAGATCGATATGAAAGGTCGGTAGAACGCCAGAATAATTCGGACTAGCCTCGAGGGAATTCGGGTTCTTTATAAAAGTTTATCGGTTTCAAACCTACAATTTAAACATGCAACACAATCCAAAAACACATTTGGAGACCAACCAATTAGGAATAAACCAGACTAACCAGTCGTTATAAGGAAACTGCGAGTGAGATTAAACTTAAACGTCCAAATAGATCTCCATTTTTATCCCATTTCATTTTATGTTGATATTGCGGCATGGAATAGAAGAATATAGCATTAAACCCGTCTTTAATTGTACCTCATTACAACCATATAAGTTAATTAGGTTCGCAGTGTCGAGGACAATTAACTGAATAAGACATTGCTGGTGATCGGGTGGCTCAGTTGGTAATGCACTCGCTTCTCACCTCGGCCACCGGGGTTCGGTTCCTCACAGGGACAGATGAAGGTCACCTGCATGACCATGTTGGTTCTCTCAAGGCACAGTTCACGTCCGTTTGCGCTAAAACATTTTTGATGTAAGTCAATATGACTTGATTGATATATCTGGTAAAACAAAGTTTAGTTAAACGAAGGCCAGGAAAATAACCCCTGTCTGTTACCCGAACGACATGTTAAAAATAGGGTATCACAGTATAAATATGGTTTTATATCGACAGGTTTGAAAAGCAGGGTAACACAATATAAATATGGTTTAATATCGACAGGTTTGAAAAATAGGGTAACACAATATAAATATGGTTTATATCGACAGGTTTGAAAAGCAGGGTAACACAATATAAATATGGTTTAATATCGACGGGTTTGAAAAATAGGGTAACACAATATTAATATGGTTTATATCGACGGGTTTGAAAATAGGGTAACACAATATTAATATGGTTTATATCGACGGGTTTGAAAATAGGGTAACACAATATTAATATGGTTTATATCGACGGGTTTGAAAATAGGGTAACACAATATAAATATGGTTTATATCGACGGGTTTGAAAATAGTGTAACACAATATTAATATGGTTTATATCGACGGGTTTGAAAATATGGTAACACAATATTAATATGGTTTATATCGACGGGTTTGAAAATAGGGTAACGCAATATATATATATGGTTTATCAGTACAAAAATTAACATTGTTTGAAGATTCCGTCAGATCATAACGACATGAAACGTCAAAACATTCCCACTAAAACTTCATCTGCACCGAAATCTGGTGCGAGTGTAGCGTCTGGCAAATTAATCAAAATATCATATTAAGAAAACTTGACCGTCTCTCAGTAAACATTTCAAACATTCATATTAAACATCTGTGTACTTTGTAAAAAAACAAACAAGAAAAAGATACTTTGTTACAAATTAAATTCTATTTATTCCATGCATATTGAAACAAGAAAAGTTCACAAACTTACTGCCATACTTTGTTAATTTGGAATCAAAAACAACGATAAATGGATACGTTTCACGTCTGTACTCATTTGTCTGCAATGTATACTAAACTTCAACGGTTTTGATATAACCCCGCCCATCCGTGTTCGTTACACAAATATCATTTCAGCATGGTCGGTGTAAATTTCATCCGGCAGAGTTCGATACAGAAGAGCGCAGCTTCTCCACCACCCAGACACACATCGCATCAATTACGGGCGTGCGCCGTACAATTAAAGCCACATAAAATGAGGGGAACGAAAATTGGACATGACCCATATAACATTCCTCACACTTCAGGAAGTGGTTGGTAGGTACATCAGTTTAATGTAGAATAAACTATACACGTTGTATAATTCATCACTTTGGTATAATAATCTCAAACCGGCTACTTGATTCGGTTATGTTTATATCATAAAGTGGGAAATTGCTGAATTTGTATTGTACACTTTGCAGACTCCTGTTAGTATGAGCTGTTTATAGTTTGATAATCATGAATAATAAAATCCACTTCTATCTGAATTCACAAAAGCGGTCAAAAACTCCTATAACAACACGTCGCACTGAAAAGTAAGAAATACGTCATACGACCATAAACGTCACAGCTGAATTTCAAAATGTTTTCGACTTAAATCTAAAAAAAAATAAGTGCTTTAGTTCAGATTTCTAAAAAAAAGTTGGACACAGCAGCATGACCTCTTTCCTTCGTTTCAATGCAGCCGATGCAAGTTTATTTAAAATACTTTTTGTTTTAAAGACAAATGATTATCCTACGACAGCTTCGGTTTCAGAGTATACTGAAAGCGCCAGTGTAAGATGCATCTTAAAATTGTTAGATAAGAAATCGAACCGATGACTTCAAATGCGCGGCTCGCGGCTTTTGCTTTACTAAGTAACTAAACTACAATAAAAAATATTCAACTACCGTAAATAACGCGTTTTTGGCTAAACTTCATGTACAGAACACTTTGGTTGATAGATGACGGGCTTCTGCAGCCCGTAAATTAACTTTTCATAACACGGAACACTTCGGTTCATAACTTAGTCTGAAGAGGAACGCAATTTCCGTGCTAGCGGAGTCCGAAACCAAAACTGCCTCCTTGGAACCAGAATGGAACCTCATTGATCAAGATTGAACCTCGTTAGTCTTGATACATACCAGATCTAACAAGAATTTGTTCAACATGAAAAACTATAAATATAGAATAAGTTAGTATGAATTGAGAACTCTTGGGGAAAATGCAGCTTGTGAAACAGCAGACTATGATAATCGGACAAGCCCGTTATACATTGATCCGTTTGTCTTTTGTTGACCAGGTGTTGATGAAGGCGGCTACCCGTTTGATCTGACCTCAACACCGATTATATGTATAAGATGATTATGGACCGCGATAGACGTCCTAAGTTAAACAGGTCAAAAGGAAATATTCTGTTTTACAAACTCGGGCAAGGGTATTACAAATAATTATATAGCTTCAAGAAATAGACTAAATAAAATGGAGTAAAAAAAATCATGTATCTTTGTTATCGGAGATATTCTTTTAAAATTGTTTAAAGTATTGGCGGATATTTTCATTTGAAATGTATATTATTGATGAGATATGGCGTGTTTTATGAACATTGATACGTATTACAGGTGTCGTTATCTATGAATATTAAAAAAGACATCGGATGTTTTCTATTGGCATAATGTATCAGATATATGTCACGTTCTATAAATGTTATGTTACATATCTGACGTGTTCTATATATATATAATGTTAGATATCTGACATGTTCTATATATATATAATGTTACATATCTGACATGTTCTATATATATAATGTTAGATATCTGACATGTTCTATATATATATATAATGTTACATATCTGACATGTTCTATATATATATAATGTTACATATCTGACATGTTCTATATATATAATGTTACATATCTGACATGTTCTATATATATATATATATATATATATATATATATAACGTTAGATATCTGACATGTTTTATAGATATTACGTTTGATATATGATGTGTTCTAAAGATATGATGTATTTGATATATGTCACGTTCTATATATGCTATGTTAAATATCTGACGTGTTCAATAGATATTCTATATTCAATATCTTACTTTGTAAGATATTTGACGTGTTCTATATATATATTATGTAAGATATCTGACGTGTTCTATATATATACTATGTAAGATATCTGACGTGTTCTATATATATACTATGTAAGATATCTGACGTGTTCTATATATATATTGTAAGATATCTGACGTGTTCTGTGTATACTTTGTAATATCTGACGTGTTCTATATATACTATGTAAGATATCTGACGTGTTCTATATATGCTATGTAAGATATCTGACGTGTTCTATATATATATATATATACTATATATATATGTAAGATATCTGACGTGTTCTATATATATATTGTAAGATATCTGACGTGTTCTATATATATACTATGTAAGATATCTGACGTGTTCTATATATATATTGTAAGATATCTGACGTGTTCTATATATATACTATGTAAGATATCTGACGTGTTCTATATATACTATGTAAGATATCTGACGTGTTCTATATATGCTATGTAAGATATCTGACGTGTTCTATATATATACTATGTAAGATATCTGACGTGTTCTATATATATATTGTAAGATATCTGACGTGTTCTGTGTATACTTTGTAATATCTGACGTGTTCTATATATACTATGTAAGATATCTGACGTGTTCTGTGTATACTTTGTAATATCTGACGTGTTCTATATATACTATGTAAGATATATGTTCAATAGATATTATGTGAGATATTTCGTTGAGTCTATATATATGTTAGTTATCTATTGTTTTATATAGATATTATGTGCGATATTTCGTTGAGTCTATATATATGTTAGTTATCTGTTGTTTTATATAGATATTATGTGAGATATTTCGTTGAGTCTATAGATATGTTAGTTATCTGTTGTTTTATATAGATATTATGTGAGATATTTCGTTGAGTCTATAGATATGTTAGTTATCTGTTGTTTTATATAGATATTATGTTAAATTGATATGTTAGATTTTTGTTGTGTTCAATGGATGTTATGTTAAATATCTGTCAAATTTTTTATATGTTATGATATAAACCTGTTAAGTTCTTTCCCCGTTCCTCTTTCATTGTGATATCATGAAAGAACGTCATAAATCTTTGTTATTCGTGTTCCTCACAGACCTCCTCCTCAAACATATTGCTTCCTCTTTAACATACCGGAATCAACTTGGGTGTTGTCTTATGACACTTACAGCTAGTGTGTTCTGTAAGTGTTCTCATAAGTTTTTCATTTCTTCAGAAGTAGTCTCTTTCTTGATTTACAGGATGTCTCTGTCTCAATGTTATGACCTGTGATTTCTAATGGTGGTGAGGTCGCTCTAGACAGGTACTAATATTAGAGTTAACTACTGACTCGTGTATATATATGTTATGTCTAGGTGAGGTCGCTCTAGACAGGTACTAATATTAGCGCTAACTACTGACTCGTGTATATATATGTTATGTTTAGGTGAGGTCGCTCTAGACAGGTACTAATATTAGAGCTAACTACTGACTCGTGTATATATATGTTATGTCTAGGTGAGGTCGCTCTAGACAGGTACTAATATTAGAGCTAACTACTGACTCGTGTATATATATATTATGTCTAGGTACATACGACCTTGGTCACCCCAGACACAACAATGGTCGTCTCCGTTTACATTGAATCGGCAGCAATCTTACTCCGAGTGAAATTTTTATCATATTCTCGTACCTTGTAATTACAGCGTGATGTTTGTGGGAGCATGAAAGCGAGGTTGGAGTAAAATGGTCGTCCGCAACTCCGTCTGACCTCGAGGCTAAGTTCTAAATGCCCATTTCAACAGAGAACGATGTGCTTACACTGGTCTTTCGGCACCATTCAATAATAGTCTACATCTTCTTAAAAAGCGATTAGAACAAGTTTTAAGTCGTTAATTTTACCTAAGACACATTTCCCTTCCATACCGGTGATTTTCTCAAATCTACATACAATAGGCGTTTACAGTGGCCCTTAGATATCATACAAATATTATAGAAATAGGACATTATGATCTCTCTGTATTACCGGCAAAGCATTAGAATAGCCCTTCTACAACTATACCAGCCATTCCTGATCAGCTTGTGGCGGGTTTGGTGAGAAATAGAGGAAAGGCCCACTATTATCGAAACAATTAGTTTCGGTTACGCTCCATTCACGAACCTAGCCTGAGCATACGTTATAAACCATACCGTATATAAGATTGACAAGGGGGAGGCTGATAATATTCACCCCCTCCAATTCACTGGATCTGAGAGTGACCTAAACCAGTAACTCAGGGACTCAAGATGTGTGCACTTTAACATTGATTCTGGCTTTTGTTTTCAAGAATTGGACGTGATGATTAAACTTATGGGATTTAAACGGATATTCTTTTCGAGTGGGTATGTTTTTAGTCTTGTTTTGTTTTGTTTTTTTCTCGAGTTTATTTCGAATTTTCTTGACAAATATGATATCTTAATCCTTTATAGGTATATCAAACAATATATTGTACGCTCCCACAGAGAATGCATTGTATCATTATGTTTGTTACGAGATAATATATTATTTAACATACATTTGTGTTCCTCTGAATACATCACACTGCGTATTTTTACCTAAACACAACAAACATGCAAAATATAAAAAAAAAGGTGAAAATGCACGTGCCTCGGTGTAAACCCATCCAACCTGATTAACGATTATATTTGACAGAACGGCATCAATAACCACAGCTTGGAACAGGAATAGAGGTTTGGATGCCAGTGTGAAAAAAAAATACCGCAAGCTGGTAGTTTCAATATCGTACATAAAATTGTTTGTGGTTTATATATTACAGAGATTTGCCCATGCTGTGAAATCGCCAGTTAACAAGATAAATTGGAACACAAGAAACCTACTTGGATTCTTTTCAACAATTGTAACTCTTGACGCTTTTCTATGAAGATTGTGCTGCCCATGCATATACGCACTTCCTTATATTCTAAAGTTCATCCGGTGAAATGACGTTCCTAATGTGATTATACGAGATATTGCCAGTGTTTGTATATAAAGGTAGAGGTAAACCGAGGTTACGTATATTTACTTTCTTTCTGGCGCTTATTTAATGGAACTCTCCGCTTATTACACGAATGGTATTCGAACCGACGAACTTTGTTAAAGGTCGAACCAGTGTTTCGCATCATTCTACGTAAAAGAGGAAAAGTGATTTATTTCTGATTGAACAGCCAAAAGATGAAAACGGAAAGTTGACACCATTGTAATTTAGACATGAGACGTCGTGGGTCCTTTTATGCATGGAATGAGGGGAAAACGATGAGGTTGCTGTTATCTTGATGACGTCACAAAACCTAGGTGATCTATGTCTTTATGGTACGCGTCCGGGGGGTTCCGGGAGATGATTTAGTATGTTCCTTTTGAGGTGTCTACTTGTGAGTCTTGTTGCTGAAGCCCTTACTTCCGCCACAGATCTGGATTCTTCCACGGTCGAGGCCGTTGGAGAAACTACCCAAGGCAAAACAGGTAAGATATGTTTATTTTCTTTCCCTCTATTACCCTCCCCGCCGTTTTCCTCGCCTTCCCTGCTGTTTCCGTATGCTCGGAGATGCTGTGAGGTTAGCGTCTGTTTGTTCGCGGCCGTTTGACCGCCACTTTCAATGGCTTCTTATATCTGTTATTCGACCTTGTGAAGGTCACTTTTATGTACCGAAAAAGATCTAATTATACGAACTCTTTAACCAGAACAAAATTGCTGATTAATTTTATGATGTTGATATACTAACTATGACGTCATAAGTGTCCAACCTAAAGTGCACGGACTAAAAATATCTGGACTTTAAAGTTTTTGGAGTGACAATTTATTTTGTATAAGAACTACAAGAATCATGGCTCTATACGAAAACTGACCCTGTCCAGACCAATTTAAACGATATCCAGAATGTCTGACGTAGAACAGAAACAAAGTCACTTCGACTGAAACAGAAGTGTCCGAAATGAAATAATTGTGAACGGATTGAGAGAACGATATTGGACTGACACAGAAGTGATCAGACTGAAATAAAGTTACCTTGACTGAAACGGTGATGTCTGGGCTGAACATAAACGGCTTGAAACAATGTCACGAGAATGACATATTAATGTCCGGACTAAAACAGAACTATGTGTATGCAAGGGCAAAACATAAGTGAACGGACTGGAACTTGCATGTGTCCGTACCAAAATTGTCACACTGTACATATGGCTTAGTCCGGATCAGTTGTCTCTTTCTGCACAAAAACAGTCTTGTAAAATTTCTTATCACGAATGGTGAAAACTTTTTCTGTATTTATATTCTATATTTTCTATTTCATTTTCCAGATCGCCTTTTAAATAAACTTGGAAAATACGAAATGGTGATTCCTGTACTTGTTGATGAGACGGGACAGTTTCTGAGCTACAACGTCAAACATAGGAGATCGAAACGTCGGAAGCGTCGAAGTGTTAGCGACCATGATACTCCTTTGGAGAAGGAACATCTGAATAGAATATTCTATAAATTATCAGCGTTTGGAAAAGATTTTCATTTCGATCTCAAATTAAATGATAAGCTTTTGTCAACCGGATATGAAGCAGAAGTATGGACAAAAGACGGACAACGCGATTTTGTTAACCGGAAACGGAACTGTCATTATGTTGGATATAGTCGTGAACCATTTACCTCGATCGCCGCAATTAGTAACTGTTTTGGATTGGTAAGTATAAATTATAGACTTTTCTATAATAAAATGTGTATCCTAAGCATATCGAAGGTAGGATCGTTAATACGGAAGCTCGCTACAACAACTGATATCAAATTTTTGTAATGATAACCTGATAGTACTGTGTCAATGCCAATTTATCATCGTGTTTGGTTAGAATTAACTCCCCTGTTCTGCCTTTATAACATTATTTCATTGACATCATCAGACTTATATTTTTCTCATGAATAAGAATGTGACAAATATAATCGTATCAGGTGCTATCAGTGGACGCGGGTTTTGACGACTTTTTCTCCACGAGAGAGCACCACAGACGCAAAATCATTTGCAGTTATACTATACGATTCTTTTTTCCAATTCATTTCAAGAATGTGGTATTTTAAGCTATGTACCGGTAGAAGAGTGAGGTATTTTGCATTTCACCATTGGATGTTCTAAATAAACATGGATTAGCACTAAATAACCACACTAACTCCCGCCAAATATCGTAGATGTTTTAGAAACAGACAAAACAATCTTCGACTTGGTTTTGGCGGTCGAATACAAAGGTCAAATGACGTAACTAAATGAAGTACTAGATGTTATTACCTAGCATTTAAACCAATATTTGAAGTTGAAAACAAGTAACAAATGTCTAGAAACATACATGACAATAGCTAAAAAGCATTTTCATAAAGGCAAATATGTGCAGATATTGAAGACCTGCTATCAAATTCAACCCCCTTTGAGGCGCAGTATTTTAAAATTCAAATTTAGACAGGAATAAGATGGCTGATTTAGATGCGTAAGTCAACACGAGAACAATATCTATGGACCTGTTTGAAAGATATCGCAGCAAACTTATTGAACTCGAAGCTCATGAACAGGTGATGAACGCTTAGTCATGACATTGTTACCAAACACATATTAATGTCGTCATTTCAAAGTCTTATTTCTTGTCATCTGGACGCCACTTTACCAATTATTTCAAAATAAGTAAAAAAAATAATATATATATATATATATTATTCAGTGAATGGCGCCCACTATCTTCCGTGATATTTTGTTTACATATTTTTCACATATTAGCAATTGTTTTCTAGGAGAAATAGTTAACTTATCCAGTTATTTTTCACAAGGAAGTTTGGGGAACAGATTCTATCATGTTTTGATTTTTTTCTAATGTGTAAGAAGATTGTATTCAGCTTCCGAGTTATCGTATGCGTACAACAACACCTTTGAAGACAACATACGCACTCTTACAAATTTCAAAGGGTCTGCAACGGTATCGATGTTGCTGATGAATGATAATTTTGAAAGGAATTCTTTCAAAACCAAGGTACATGTGCTGATATAGCAGAACTACACGAAACCAGACTTGAATTCTTTGACCAGAGAATGACGAACTCTTCTCGGTGCGAAGACATGAAAAAAATCTTCCACAGATGTAGATTAGGTACCAGACAGCGGTATTCATTGAGTGATTAAATCTCTTCTGTTATTGTTCGGGGTTTAAAAATAAAAAAGTTAAACTTTCTACAGCATTGGATATATAACAGGCAAAATTGGGGCAAGGCTGGTTTAGGATGTATTGCTCATACAATACATGAAGCCCGTCTGTCGTTAATCATAAATTCGAGGAAGCGGGAGTATAGGAAGGGGAGGGGGATTCCATTTTGTTTTATCAACGGTATCCGTACAGTTATTTATGATTGACAGAAAACATCTGCAAGGCACTAATCGGTAAGATATGGAGATTTTAGGAATAGCGATGGGGAGGGGAAAGTAGGAAAAGAGGGGGAGCAGGAGGGGAATTGATAGGAGGGGGATTACACACACCCTGGTGCAGGTTGTAGTTGTAATTAGTATCAACCCAAGGAGAATGTTGTATGCAGCGTATCAGAGAGGGATACATAGAAATGAGCAGAGATTTAACCATTCCACTAAAACTTAATGATACGGTTGGCTTGGTCAGGTATATTGTTTTTATCTTCAAATTCAAACACTCGGTGATTTCCGTGTACCAAACTGTTGCTGTAACAAAGGAGACGATATTAAAGTATAAGGCATTTGTAAAGAAGTACCTTGGGAAGTCTGCAGAGTATTACCATATATGTAGTACGATATCTGTGTCTAAAGTGCCCATCGTTGTACCAATAGGTGGCATGATACCGCCAATCGTACCCTTGGTAGTCCCATTACATTGTATAATATTTCCTAGAGTACTAATCAAAGCCCCTAAATATCTTACAGCATTGCCTATCGCACCCATGGGAGCCCCAACAGACAACACAATAGCGCCCAAAAAATCCACCGAAGCCGTGATAGATATCACAATATCGCCTTTAGTACCCATCGTAGTCTCAATGAATAACACAGTATCGCCTATAATACCCATCGTAGTCTCAATGAATAACACAATATCACCTATAGTACCCATCGTAGTCTCAATGAATAACACAATATCGCCTATAGTTCCCATCGTAGTCTCAAGGAATAACACAATATCACCTATAGTACCCATCGTAGTCTCAATGAATAACACAATATCGCCTATAGTACCCATCGTAGTCTCAATGAATAACACAATATTGCCTATAGTACCCATCGTAGTCTCAATGAATAACACAATATTGCCTATAGTACCCATCGTAGTCTCAATGAATAACACAATATCGCCTATAGTTCCCATCGTAGTCTCAATGAATAACACAATATTGCCTATAGTACCCATCGTAGTCTCAATGAATAACACAATATCGCCCATAGTACCCATCGTAGTCTCAATGAATAACACAAGGGTGGTCCGGTGGCGCAGTGTTAACGCACTCGCCTTTCACCAAGCCGACCGGGGTTCGATTCCCGGAACGGACGTGAAAAGGTAAGGGGCCACCTGCCGGACCACGTGGGTTTTCCCCGGGCACTCCGGTTTCCTCCCACAATAAGAGACCCCTCGCGCGCTTACATCCGGGCCAACAAGAGTGATTAGTATAAGTTGACATAACTTGTTTCGCAATTGTTGTAAAATAAATAAAGTTTATATTTATATAATAACACAATATTGCCTATAGTACCCATCGTAGTCTCAATGAATAACACAATATGGCCTATAGTACCCATCGTAGTCTCAATGAATAACACAATATGGCCTATAGTACCCATCGTAGTCTCAATGAATAACACAATATCGCTTATAGTACCCAACACAATATCGCTTATAGTACCCATCGTAGTCTCAATGAATAACACAATATCACCTATAGTACCCATCGTAGTCTCAATGAATAACACAATATCGCTTATAGTACCCATCGTAGTCTCAATGAATAACACAATATCGCCTATAGTACCCATCGTAGTCTCAATGAATAACACAATATCGCTTATAGTACCCAACACAATATCGCTTATAGTACCCATCGTAGTCTCAATGAATAACACAATATCGCCTATAGTACCCATCGTAGTCTCAATGAATAACACAATATAGCCTATAGTACCCATCGTAGTCTCAATGAATAACACAATATCGCCTATAGTACCCATCGTAGTCTCAATGAATAACACAATATCGCCTATAGTACCCATCGTAGTCTCAATGAATAACACAATATCGCCTATAGTACCCATCGTAGTCTCAATGAATAACACAATATGGCCTATAGTACCCATCGTAGTCTCAATGAATAACACAATATCGCTTATAGTACCCAACACAATATCGCTTATAGTACCCATCGTAGTCTCAATGAATAACACAATATCGCCCATAGTACCCATCGTAGTCTCAATGAATAACACAATATCGCCTATAGTACCCATCGTAGTCTCAATGAATAACACAATATGGCCTATAGTACCCATCGTAGTCTCAATGAATAACACAATATCGCTTATAGTACCCAACACAATATCGCTTATAGTACCCAACACAATATCGCTTATAGTACCCAACACAATATCGCTTATAGTACCCATCGTAGTCTCAATGAATAACACAATATCGCCTATAGTACCCATCGTAGTCTCAATGAATAACACAATATCGCCCATAGTACCCATCGTAGTCTCAATGAATAACACAATATCGCTTATAGTACCCATCGTAGTCTCAATGAATAACACAGTATCGCCTATATTACCCATCGTAGTCTCAATGAATAACACAGTATCGCCTATAGTACCCATCGTAGTCTCAATGAATAACACAATATCGCCCATAGTACCCATCGTAGTCTCAATAGACAGATACCAATCATATCTCCAGATGGTTATTTTCCAAATTGTATACCCGGGTATCGTAACTAATTCATTTTGACTACCATTTTGACTTCATTTTGCTTTAACAGATAATACAAATATATATCTGATAAAATTAAAATGATAAGCTGACTTTCCATAGTAAATGTTGACATTCTTCAATACTTTTTTTGTCTGTTGTTCTAGTAATGTCAAAGTTGACAGTTAATTTCAAATTTTAGGAATAGGTCAGGTTACATTAGAGCTATTAACTCCTGTCTGTCAAATATTATACATTTAATGGCTAATGCGCTTTGACCTCTTCTGTTTATTTTCGGCTTTTTAATCCTCAATCCATATAACTGTTGAGAGTGTCTTTTTTTGCCTCAAAATGTCGAGCCTTGTGAGCAAATCATTGTTGGTTTTTCCCGGAGCATCGCATATTTTTTCGGCTACAGAAAAAAACCATCACAGAGTTAATCAAAACTTTCGAATGTTTATTTCGACCGTATCGCAAAGGACTTCATTAATTTTATTGGAGCCTTTCCTTGGTATTCATGGACTGATTAGAACTTACTTCGTTATGGATGATACCCAACAGCACGGTACAAACATTTCGCCTGTTATCTCTTGATAAAACTGATCAAAACTCACTAATTTCATATAGTTTCTTAATATTTTCAATCGATTTCACATATAACGAAAAAATCAAGGATTTTCTGTAAGCCATGAATTTTTTTATTTTGGAAAAAAAATCAAATTTGATGTCAAGGTTTGTGTATTTTATGATAAACACGATCAATTTATAGATGGTGATGATCTAATAGGCAGATCGTATTCCGGAAATTAACATCCGGAATGCAGGTTCCGATATGACATTCCTTTCTAATGGTTGATGTTGTCATGTTGTAAATTAGGATAACATTGCGTAAACGCCTTTGTCCTTATCATGTTATGCGGTTGAAATAAAGTTTACATACCAAATTTATATTTGACGCGTCAGCGATGTCGTGGTGAGTGTTCGGAGATAGTCACTCTTCATTATGTTTTTCTTCTTTACTTTGGGTTACAACACAACAAAAACTGAACCAATGCAAATATCTTATTCAATTTAAAATTCGATTATATGTAGATAAATAAGATTTTAATCAGAACAACTTTCATCTTCATTTATCTCGGACGGTCTTTTTACAATGTATGACACGCTTTTAATTTGAAGATGAGTAATTGATAAATAGAATCTAACGATTGGTTTCACCAGTTTATCTAATTAAAAATCATGATGAAAAGTGGATTTTGCATGAATTTCCATTTCATATGAGATTTAGAGATTTATTAAATTGACGATATCTTATACTTTGATGTCGTCACAATGCATATGACGTCACAAACATATGACATCACAATTGAAGTACCGAAAGGTGGTTTTGCACGTGTGATCATAACAAAATGTATTAAATGGATGGTATGATACTGATAATAGGGCAGTTATGTGTTGAAAGAGATTACCAAACAGTCAAAAGAAATTTCAGATGAAATATCTCATGGGAAAACCGAAGTACAATATTTGTACCGTCAAACAAGACAAAAATCCAGAAGTATTGCGTACCGTCCTGTATAATATGCATCATTTAGAGGGAAATAATAATACAATTGCAGGTTTTTAATCGTATCATGATTAGTATGATATCACTGATTTAGCGATATGAATATCTATTTGCTTGTAAACTGAACTCGAGAGAACATCTTATCAGGTACTACAAAACTTTCTACCTCGTCATAAGTAGTATGTGAGTATTGTTTTGGTCTACAAATGTCATAAAGAAAAACGTGTAGTTATTTCATGTGAAAGAAACGTATACATAACAATTAAAATTGATATGAATGAAAAATGGGAGAACAGCTGATTTGGACTGAAATGTCTCTGTTAAAGTCATATAAGAAACCGTTTGTTGAAGGTCCGTGTACTAACATTATAACAGAACTGGGTCAAAATACGTCGGGATTGAATTATAATGCTAAGTCATGGTCAGCAGTATTTTTGGTTGCGAATTTATACACTGACCAGTCAAACACTAAACACCCGATAGCTTATCACAGCTGCGCGAGCTCGCTTACATACTTATCAGCTGTAGGACTTTCTCATTTCGTTTCATATTTCACTAAATCATTAGAGGAGTAATACACGTAGCTCTTTAGTATACCACAAAAGACAGTCTAAACTCCGCCGTAATCCCACACCGGCTCAATGTACGTACAGTTCACATCAGAAACTCCTTTGTTAATCAATGAAAAAGCAACGGCATTTTTATGATGTATGACGATTTTATGGCGAGTTTTCGTGTAGAAATGACATATATAATCTTATAAACGTTTGTATAGAGTCAAAAAGCTGTTTCAGATTCGATAAATATACCGTTTTACTGGGGACTTAATTCCAAGTGTTAAATCCAGTGACATTTAATTACATCTGCGAACAAACTAAGTCGACACGGAATTTACTGCGGACGGTTTATCGTAAAACGTCTCGTGGCATTTCAGTGTTAAAACAGTTTTTTAAATGTCTGTTCCTTTGATGTACCGATTTGAAAATAAAAATTCAAAGTGTGTTTATCGGTTCATGTATTTCGTAATCGGTAACTACATGTATCACTATTTAGATTTGCAAAACACGTAACCATCTAAACATTCCGTCAAGTCTTTGTCATTTTTTCCTCTCCATACTTTAATTTCCCACTCACATTAAGAAAAGTTATTTACGATAATTACAATGTGACATAATTTAATGTTAACACAAATCATTTGTACTTCGCAAGGAATTAATACACTTTAAAACTTGCCCGACCTCCTCTGGGTATAATAGGCCAGGGGAGTGACAGGTTACCAGAGTAAAAGTTATGATGGTTTTATAAGAAATTGAGTTAAAGGTGTATGTATGATTTCCGAATATTTCGACATGGGATATCAGAATATTCTGGATGTCGATCAATCAGTGTGCAATATGTTTCTCCGGTTGCATACATTTACAATTTCCATTAATACACCTTTATTTATAGTTCGAAGATTCTCCAACTATTAAAAAATAAAATATAAAAAAAAATGATAAAATAAAAATATGCTAATATTTCACGTCTTTGGAATAAGAAACGCACTTCCATGTATTACTGATGACCTATCACAAATTCGACAATGCGATCATAGTACATACAGAAAGCACAATATCGCCAATACTACGATATAACAATGGTATGGTCATCGTATGTTATACTGCTATGCCGATTACGGGTTGATGTTTGCTTCTATAATTTGCTACTTGCCATTTGCTAATTGTCAATACAAGATCATATAATACTTAGATATCATATAAAAGAGAAATGTCGCCAATATCAGCCTAAGGCCAAAAAAAAAAAAAAAAAAATAATAATAATAATAGTGGGGAAAGCGAATTATGAATAAAAGCCAATTGGAAATTGATTTGATATGTCAAATGACTAAAGTATTAATAAAGTTTACAGTACAATCACCTGTACGTGGCATATTGGTCAACATATTCCAATCTATTGTATACCCTTTAATGTAGTAATTATTCCTATTTAGGATGTCCCCTAGGGGCCAGGCATTGTGTTGAAAGGTTTAGTTGTGTTTTGAAATTAAAAAAAAAACCATTGCAATTTGGACGTAGCGTTTCATTTAAATAGTAGTAGATGGCAATAGTTTCTCAATGTTTCCAGCATGGCGTTTTCCAAACGAACGAGGAGGATTTCTTCGTGGAACCATTATGGAACCAAACAGGCAGAACCACCACATTCGGGCATCCACATGTGGTGTATAAGAGATCTGACATCCGGTTAAATCATGAACACAACAGTGACGATTGCGGTGTTACAGGTACGGTATGAAGAAACATATGGCTCAAACCTCTGGTATGCTGAACATTTAAAGAATGTTTACATCTTTCGTGTAAACTATCATCAAATCAGTTATGATTTTGTAAAGAAACGTACAGTTAACATATTTTACAATAGATAGAAGAACCAGCGACTTACAGCAAGCGTAATATGATACAAGATACACAGTTAGACGCTTTAATGTCAACTTCACAAAATTGTGAATGAACGTGTCATTAAGTAGGCGTGGTTTTCTAATTTACAACTCTGTTCTCTCTTCTGTCTGTTACAGATTATCAACAGTTACTTTTAAATCATATCCCTCTTCATGAAAATACTAGAAATGAAACAAAACTACATCGATCATCTGATCAGAGAAAACGACGAAAAATTGACCCTCCACATCGTTTAGGATTTTCACCTAAGCCTAAGCCTAGAATTTCACTGCGGAACGAATACCAGAACCGGAAGCGCCGATCTGTGATGAGCGAAGAGAAGAATGTTGAGACATTAGTGGTAGCGGATAGGATGATGGTACAGTACCACGGGAAAAAGATAATAGAGTCCTACGTTCTATCCATCATGAATGTTGTAAGTGTCTTTTTTCCGGACCATCCAGGTAATGGGTACATGTCTGCTCTTCAAAACCTTTCTTCCCTCGTCTAGAAACTTGTAAACCGTCTTTTCAAAAAGTCGATATTAGGCTTGTAGTCTTAGTTTTTCTACGTTTAAGGGATACCACCGTAGGCAAAACTTTACATCTGCTTTAACACGACTAATAAACACTAGCTGCAGCAACATTTAAGATGGTCATTCCTTAATAGTCAAATTTGAATAAAGGATAACTGGGTCACCCAAGCTTGCGCTGATGTAGACACGAAAATATATTTCACTTTTTTTTGACACAGCAGAATTGACATAAACTACAAAGGTTTGCTTATTTCAGTTTGGAATGGAATCTACTTAGTCAGTTGGAAGGTTGACGCCACGTGGCCAATGTCACATAGTGACTATCTAAATGAAGACGGCAATATGGCCGCCGACGATGTTATAGATTGCGCCGATTCGAAAATTTGAGCGCCTCAATCATTTCATTCTCATTTTATGTCAAATAGCTATTTCCTCCGGAATGAAGCAGAATAAACTGATTTCTCAGTATTAGCTTACCTAGCCCGAAGGGCGCGACGTCTGTTGTCCGTCCGTACGGCGTCAACTTTTCCATTTCAGCGACATTCAAATGTCATGTAATTTGGCTGGTAGGTTGCTGGGATGAAGCCCGACAATGTTCACGAAAAGAATTGACGTTGACCCATATTCAAGGTCAGCGGAGTAGAATTTGTTCAAGCATTAAAACTACTTCTTCTCGTTAAACAAAATGTCTATAAGCATGATATTTGGCTGACAGGTTCCTAATATGAATCCCAACAAAGTTTAAGAAAAGAAATGACATTGACCTCTATTCAAGGTCACGGGGTGAAAGTTCATAAAATCTTAAAACAACTTCTTCTGATTAATCAAAATGTCCAGAAGTATATTATTTGGCTGACAGGTGCCCAGTATGAATCCTGACAAAATTCGCAAAAAGGCATAAGAAAAGACTTTAAAAGACTTCTTCTGATTAACCAAAAGACACAGAAGCATGGTTAAATAGGTCCCTTAAATGAAGCCCGAAGAAGTTTGTGAAAAAATCACCTTAAATTACATTTGTGTTATCAATGAAGTGTGAAAAGAGAAATATTCACAATTTCTTTATTTTCTTAATGTCAGAGGTTATTATCGGTCGACGGTGTTTTAGGTAGTTGCTTGAATTATAGATGGTCTCAGTGTCGAAATAGAAGCGGTACCTTATAGATGGTCTCAGTGCTAAATAGAAGCCGTACATTATAGATGGTATCAGTGTCTAAATAGAAGCGGTACATTATAGACGGTCTCAGTGTCTAAATAGAAGCGGTACATTATAGACGGTCTCAGTGTCTAAATAGAAGCCGTACATTATAGACGGTCTCAGTGTCTAAATAGAAGCGGTACATTATAGACGGTCTCAGTGTCTAAATAGAAGCGGTACATTATAGTCGGTCTCAGTGTCTAAATAGAAGCCGTACATTATAGACGGTCTCAGTGTCTAAATAGAAGCCGTACATTATAGACGGTCTCAGTGTCTAAATAGAAGCGGTACATTATAGACGGTCTCAGTGTCTAAATAGAAGCCGTACATTATAGACGGTCTCAGTGTCTAAATAGAAGCGGTACATTATAGACGGTCTCAGTGTCTAAATAGAAGCGGTACATTATAGACGGTCTCAGTGTCTAAATAGAAGCCGTACATTATAGACGGTCTCAGTGTCTAAATAGAAGCGGTACATTATAGACGGTCTCAGTGTCTAAATAGAAGCCGTACATTATAGACGGTCTCAGTGTCTAAATAGAAGCCGTACATTATAGACGGTCTCAGTGTCTAAATAGAAGCGGTACATTATAGACGGTCTCAGTGTCTAAATAGAAGCCGTACATTATAGACGGTCTCAGTGTCTAAATAGAAGCCGTACATTATAGACGGTCTCAGTGTCTAAATAGAAGCCGTACATTATAGACGGTCTCAGTGTCTAAAGAAGCGGTACATTATAGTCGGTCTCAGTGTCTAAATAGAAGCCGTACATTATAGACGGTCTCAGTGTCTAAATAGAAGCCGTACATTATAGACGGTCTCAGTGTCTAAATAGAAGCGGTACATTATAGACGGTCTCAGTGTCTAAATAGAAGCGGTACATTATAGACGGTCTCAGTGTCTAAATAGAAGCCGTACATTATAGACGGTCTCAGTGTCTAAATAGAAGCCGTACATTATAGACGGTCTCAGTGTCTAAATAGAAGCCGTACATTATAGACGGTCTCAGTGTCTAAATAGAAGCGGTACATTATAGACGGTCTCAGTGTCTAACATAGAAGCTCAGTGTCTAAATAGAAGTACATTATAGACGGTCTCAGTGTCTAAATAGAAGCCGTACATTATAGACGGTCTCAGTGTCTAAATAGAAGCCGTACATTATAGACGGTCTCAGTGTCTAAATAGAAGCGGTACATTATAGACGGTCTCAGTGTCTAAATAGAAGTACATTATAGACGGTCTCAGTGTCTAAATAGAAGCGGTACATTATAGACGGTCTCAGTGTCTAAATAGAAGCCGTACGTTATAGACGGTCTCAGTGTCTAAATAGAAGCCGTACGTTATAGACGGTCTCAGTGTCTAAATAGAAGCGGTACATTATAGACGGTCTCAGTGTCTAAATAGAAGCCGTACATTATAGACGGTCTCAGTGTCTAAATAGAAGCCGTACATTATAGACGGTCTCAGTGTCTAAATAGAAGCCGTACATTATAGATGGTTTGTGTCCATTTGATATTTTGAATTCAAATAACAATTATTCCCTTGATGTTCTTGAGGTAGTTACTCTCCGTCTTCCGAAATATAGTGGATCGTCTGATTCGTTAGGGAGTCTACGTCTGTGTATTCACGTAGACTGGCAGTAACTGACAAACATTTTCAGAAAGATACTTTATAATATATACAAAACAATTAGATGTACATGAAACTGTTTTACTTGCTCATCATAATGTTATTTACGTTTTTATACCTAACATATTTTGTCTATTAGTTATGCGTGTATACTTAAATTTTCACCTTAACATTACCTATATATCTATGTTACCTATCACCTAATACTTTAGATTGTGTTAATTTCACCCTAAATTAACTTAGGTGTTAAAACTTAAGCCTGTTTTACCCATCACCTTCAGATTACCTATGTATTTATTGTGCAGCCTGTTTTACCTATCACCTCCAGTTTACCTATGTATTTATGGTTTAGTCTGTTTTACCTATCACCTTAGGAATACCTTTGTATTTATGGTTTAGCCTGTTTTACCTATCACCTTAAGATTTCCAATGTATTTATGGTTTAGCCTGTTTTACCTATCACCTTAGGATTACCTTTGTATTTATGGTTTAGCCTGTTTTACCTATCACCTAAAGATTTCCGATGTATTTATGGTTTAGCCTGTTTTACCTATCACCTTAAGATTACCTGTGTGTTTATACTTGAGGTCAGGTTGCCCAGCTCTTCCATGATGCCAGTATTGGAAATGCCATTAACATTGTGGTCAGTCGACTGGTCATTCTGGAGAAGGACCAGGTAAGATTAACTAGTGATACAAGTGACGCCAGATTTTCGGTAAGATTCTACATATCTGAACTTGACCTTCGTCTAAGAATCATGTTGTTTCCCCTTTCGTTTTGGGGTGTCACTCGTGTTACGGCGTGTTTGCTATTGTTGTACACATAAATTAGAAGGTTGCTATCTGACTTACAGGAGAACCTGACCTTGAACTATCATGCTGATCGTTCATTGGACAGTTTTTGTCGATGGCAAAATATTCTAAACCTGACAGCTGATGAAATGGGAACCGCCCATCACGATAATGCTGTTCTACTAACAGGGTAAGGTGCAACTGTTTTATTTACATGGAAGTAAAGAATGAGATCAGCCTGTTTGTTTAGGATATTACATTTTCACAAAACCACAGATGAATTCTCATATACTGTAAAACTGAGAGTATTATTTCTCGAATGCGTTTTTTTTAAAGTGGTATTTGGGGAAATTCCTTTTTGTTCGTGAGGAAACTGAGAGAGAGAGAGAGAGAGAGAGAGAGAGAGAGAGAGAGAGAGAGAGAGAGAGAGAGAGAGAGAGAGAGAGAACATGACATCGTTTACAAAAACAAATTTCAAAATGTCAAGATACCATTGAAAGATTGTTCCTAATTATTTCATTGCATACCTTAAAATTAAAAATTAGAATTGAGAATTAATCTTCATGAATACAGCTGGTTACTTCTGTTTTTCTTCATCTTACAGGTATGATATCTGTACGTACCAGAACAGTCCATGTGGAACATTGGGTAGGCATTGCTTTATTTAATAACAGTCTGAAAGAAAATGTATACATCTATAAGTCTGTGTATATCTCACATGGGACATCTTTTAAAGCTATTTAGCATTTTACGTAATAACAAGAATATAAAAGTAAGCAAGGTTTTGATAGAATGTCTATTTTTAAACTGTCATCTGAAATTAATATACCTCACATACACTGTCTTAACTTGTAAATTGGAGGTTAACGTTTTCTATATGTGTGTGACGATTTTTAATATTTTATTGAACAACAGGACTGGCTCCAGTGGCTGGGATGTGTGATGAAGACAGAAGCTGTAGCATTAACGAGGACATTGGTCTTGCGTCTGCATTTACTGTGGCACATGAAATAGGACACAAGTATGGAAGTAACAGTCGTTTCTGAAACACTGAAAAATGCGAAAAGAAAATGATATTGCATGCATTTTAAACATTTACTTAAACAAAACTTAAAGTGTTATCCCTGCGAAAAAGGGTTGCAAACTTGATTCAATCAGGAAAACGAAACGCTTTAACAGTGTTTCTACTGAAAAGAGGAAAAAATATTTAATCCTCGTCTAACATACAAACCTTTTGTCGGATTCAAATTGGTGAAGATTTTTGGTAGTTTTTCAGTTCTAAACCGGCATGCTGTAAAGTGTTAATAAAACTTATATAAAAACCACCACATATTCTCATCACCTGGTTTCTGTACTGTTGTAGTTTTGGGATGCAGCATGACGGCGCTGGAAACAGGTGTGGTACAGCGGGGTCTGGCGAAATGGCTGGAATAATGGCTGCACAACTGACGAAAGACACTCAGCCCTTCAACTGGTCGTCGTGTAGTCGGACCTACGTCACAGAGTTCTTAGAGTGAGTAATTTAGTGGTCGTGACGTTTGATGTATATTAAAACATTTATACCCTAAATTCGAACCAGTCTGAAGCGATATGTGCATCAAATAGGGAGGATATGGAATTAAAACTAGTTTTTATGATAGACTGTAAACTTGGTCCCATCTGGAATTTCCTCAACTAAGCTAAATATTTCACGTTCTGTTGCTAAAATGCACATTCCAGTTTAGGTCTTTATTACTGGAATCCTACATATTATTTTACACTCGTTCAAAAATTTTATCTAACTTTAAAATGTCGATGTTTTTTCGTTACAGACATGATAAAACACTTCTCAGCATTAAGGCTCATCTCCATTCTCATGTATCTGTTAATTCTTCCAATTTCATTCTTTCGTTGATGCTTTTAGAGAATGGTATGATCGTGTAATGTTTTTGCTTACCAGTTCTGATAAAGGACTATGTCTGGTCAACATCCCTTTCTGAACAACTCCTCGTGTAATATTTTTTCTTACCAGTTCTGATAAAGGACTATGTCTGGTCAACACCCCTTCTGAACAGCTCCTCGTGTAATGTTTTTTCTTACCAGTTCTGATAAAGGACTATGTCTGGTCAACATCCCTTTCTGAACAACTCCTCGTGTAATGTTTTTTCTTACCAGTTCTGATAAAGGACTATGTCTGGTCAACACCCCTTCTGAACAACTTCTCGTACAGCCACAGTTCCGACGCTTTCCACCTCAGCAGATTAACTCGGATGAACAGTGTGTACTACAGTTCGGAGAAGCCTCAAGCATGTGTAAACCAGGGGTAAGTATATCACAGTCACAGACAATTGTCATCAAAAGACTACTTTCTGTTTATTCATGTTATAATGTCTTTTTATGTCTTAATTCCTTAACGTATTTGTTATTTTAATTAGCTGTGGAAAAGGACAAACAATTCAAATAAATCAACAACTTGTTTTCATTAAGTTTAAAGTTTATGTTTCTTTGGGAAAATTGCAGAATTTGAAATTATCACATAATTCTTTAATAACTCGAGGACAATTCTGTATTAATGCTTGTAATGTACACATGTATTCATAGACGTTGTGACCATTAAAACATTAATGTCTTCTGTTTCAATTGCTCACAAAACCCTGATTATACCAATAACTTTGACCGAATTAATACTATTTAATATGAAATTTGTTTATAGTTGATATCTTAAGGGATGCAGTGTACATCACAGAAATACAATCCTTTAATATTAATTTGTTTACACAGGAGGTGTGTCAGGAGTTGTGGTGTGTAAATAAACACGGTCAGTGTACCACAAACAGCATCCCGGCGGCGGAGGGTACCGTCTGTCCACTGGACACCGGCCAGAGAGGGGTATGTTACACACGTGACAATGTGACAATGGGTAATGAATCTGTTCGTACAGTACCCCGTAAGGTACATTGTAGATAGTTCTTGAATCAGGAAAGCATACATTGGACACAATAGAACGTAGATAGACCAATAACAATGAGAGTCAAATACTGGTAGATATAACTTTTTGGGGAATTCACTTCTTTCTATTCAATGCAATTGCACGCTTGACAGTATTTAAAGTAAAATAAGCTATTTAATTAAGGTACATACACCATTTGTACATTAACTAACCCATGGATCCAACCTCATGTACCTTCACTATGAAAATGTTTCTGATTCAGTGGTGTTACCGGGGGCTATGTCGGGAACCTCACTACCGACCAGAGCCACAGAACGGAGACTGGGGTGCATGGTCCGAGTGGGACGCCTGTACGCGCACGTGCGGTGTTGGCGTGGAGTCCAGCTTCCGGCGATGTGATGACCCAGAGTAAGTTTCCGAAATAAAGACGTTCTGATTCAAAATTGTACATTAATTTCATTGCCAACAAACGCGTTTACCTATTGTATATTTGTCCTAGAAACTGATATTGGTATGAAAGTAAGTGCATGTTTTATCTACAAAATACGCAGTCAGGGATTTTGCAAGGTTATTTGACTAATCCGACGAATTGAAGAAAGAACGTATTTAAAATCTTCTTTATATATAAGCATAACACGGAGTAAAATGAAATTCATGTTCTGTTGGAATATATTTGTTTGTACAAACCTTTTTACATGTGGTTTGCAGACCTCGTCATGGCGGGAAATACTGCGTGGGAGAACGGAAACGCTATAGATCGTGTAATATCCAGTCGTGTCCGGATAATGTTCAGGATTTCCGAGAACAACAATGCGCAGATTACGACACAAAACCATTTAGGGGAAGGTACTACAACTGGAAGCCATTCTCAGGAGGTAGGTGGATAAAATGATTTCTCATTTTAAAATGGCTTGTCATAGCTCCACAAGAGTTATCTCTCCTCGGACATATTCTTTTTCAGTCCTCTCTATCAGAGTTGTCGTTCCTTACACTTACAAATTGTTTGTTTCAGCCCACAACAGACCATGCGCACTTAACTGTATAGCGGAGGGATACAATTTTTATACAGAACGTGCGCGGAAGGTTATCGACGGCACGAGGTGTTACCCAGACAAAATGGACCTTTGTATTAATGGACGATGTCTGGTAATGGATTTTGATTTCTCTATTTTACTACATTCGAAACTAAATCCAAAAAAATTAAAGCACTTATTGTAGAATTTCTGTAGAAACTTCGGTTAATCCTCATGAAAGTAAAAAAAGGTTTAAAAATGCATTATGAGACAGCTTTTTTTAATCGAAATTGCGGAATTCTCTATAATCGCGTTGCACATTACAAAACAGTTCCACAGTATGATTTCCACTTCCAGAAAATATCTGACATTGAAGTACTCTATTTACGGATAAACTTCAAGAGTGGAAAGAAAGTGCTTGGACCACCGAAATGAGGCTTCGGCTCGTTTTAAATTGCATGATTTTTTGGGGGGGATTTTGAAATTTTTTGATAAATAAAATACGCCCATGGTTAGTTATTTCTGACAAATAAACAGCACCATATTTTTTGAATATAAGTAATAACACACGGACACTTTCTTTCTCGGATACAGATTTGCCCTTTTACCAATAAAGAAAGCGTGATATTTGCTATGGTCATCATTGTCCTTCTGTACTTATTGCTCTCACATCGATTGTTACGCCAGTTTCTAAATATATGCATGTATTTCATCGAAATTTTTTCCCCTTATCAGCCAGTGGGTTGCGATGGAGTTCTGGAGTCTAATGCTACAGAGGACATCTGCCGGAAGTGTAATGGTGACGGTTCCACGTGTCAGACAATCTCCGGCCACTTCGACAAACAACTCCCAAAGGGATGTGAGTAATAGAGGATATGATATTAGTTTGAAATAAAAACCACGATATAAATTATCAAATTTATCTTATAAGCGCAAAATTGTTTTAAGAAACCGATTTTATGAGGACTTGTAGAAGACCATGTAGTTGGACACGTAAGCATCCAAATCTTTGGAAAACCAATGTTACTGCAGGGACCAAGAAACTATATTGTTCACTAACGAATAAATGTGGAAAAGAAAATCCCGCAATACTTTCACTCCAGCGATCAAAGTCCACAAATGTTAAAACAATAAACCGTATATCAGAGGGAAACATTTGTATAAGGTATCATCTGTGCGTGTTATATTTTGTCAATGTTTATAATGTTAAAATGATTAATAGTATTACGTGTTCTTTATACAATATTTTCTGTTTGAAAAAATATTCGTACATAACAAAGTATGTTTTTTATTTCTGAAAACAAATTGCGAAATTTTAACACAATATTGAGTTTTGTTTGTAATTATTAAGAGTAATTCAATTAACCTTCTCACATTAACTTATAAACATAGTAGTAGGGGTAGGGGAAGGCAGAGGATGTAGGCTTCGGCTACTTTCAAGAAGCATGTCGATGCCGATGTGGTAATTACAAGAGATACTGTTTGTTAAGTTTTCGCGAACATTTCAGCGAACTATAATATTTGGTTTCAAGGGTAAAAAGGGACACTGGAGAATATTTTATTTTCTGGTGATCAAAATCGAATTTCAGATCGATAATAATGTATTTTTAACAAATACATGAATGTTGATTTTCAAAGCCAATGAATCACAAAATATATTTAAATGACCAGATTATGATTGATAATATAAACAGAGAACACATGTTTGTGTCACCTTTATGTTACAGTTGTGGGCTTTAGATTTATAAACTATATAGATAAGAATGGATTTGAATTTTCAGCTTACCATGAGATGGTGAGGATTCCGAAAGGAGCTGTACATATCCTGGTGAGAGAGACACAGGAATCCATCAATTATCTGGGTAAGGTTATACCCCATAACTGCACGGTCAACACAATGTATTATTTGTGCAATATTACGGTAAGGTTAAACCCCATAACTGTACGGTCAACACAATGTATCTGTTGTACAATATTACGGTATGGTAAAAACCTATAGTGTCATATACTTGTACATCAGATATAACATACTATATCATCATATGTTTTGATTTTAGAAACATTTAAGACAGAAAATTAGTTATTTCATTGTCTAAATAATTAAATAAACGTACTTCTCGATATTATTTCCAATTTTGATGGAGACAATCACGTTTCAAAGACAAATTAAAGCTGAAATACAAGTCACTTCAACGAAAAACGTAGCGTAAAGAGAGCATTTTCAGTTGTTATAAACCCAGTTAGCAACACCCGTGATATTACACAATAACACTAATTTTACTTCTGTTTCATTGGAAAATTCTGATATAAAGGGAAAAAGTAATAAACAGACAATAGCCGTTTTCCCGGATGATTGACAGCTACTTCCATGATTTTTTGCGTGTGATGTTTTGACTGGATTTCTTAATAATATCAAGTACATTATAAATTTGACAAGGGATAGGTCATTGACGCATACTTATAGGAGTTACTTCCCTTCGTAGCTTTACAGGGTGAGAGTGGTGAGTACTACATCAACGGCGAATGGACTATAGACTGGCCGCGGAAATTCTCACTGGCAGGAACAGTCTTTCATTATGAACGAGAAGACAACGAACCGGAAGTTCTCAGGGCCATAGGACCAACCAACGAAAAACTTGTCATCATGGTAAGAGTGAACGATTTCATTGGTATATTACCACCAATATCTGTCAGTATGTATGCAAGAAATTACATATTTTCTAACACATATCCAATATTAAATATCAAAATTATCATTTATTGCTTATTACAAGGTGAAATGAACACCATTAACTTCGTCCTTAACCATAGTTGTTTGTAGGACGATAAACATTATTAAAGCGAACCATGTCATCAACATTCACTTGTCACACCATTTGTGTTATCAATTATTCTAACATAAACAATCGTGCTATAATCCAAAACAGGATATGTGTCAGAACAAAAACTGTTAAACGACGTCTTGCATTAAAGCTTTGAACCGACTGATAAGTCAGTAGGCTTGCCACTTCGACTTATGTTCCCATTTACATGATAACTTAAAACCAGCCATCATTTCACTAACCCGCTAAAGTCTTCATTATTTTTTTTTATTTTTTAACTTTTTCTGTCTTCTGTAAGGAAGTTCTGTCAAAATTAATTTAATTTAATTATTCATTTCACGATTCTTAAGTTAAATGTTTAAGATTGTTTAAAATAAGACAAAGGATAATCTACTGAAAAGGAGCAAAACAATTATATTAAAAGACTAAAAGAAATACCGACATAGTAAAAATCAATGGAACGATGGAAAAAACCATGTAAATCTTGGTCAGTCCAAGTAAATACGTTCCCGTTCTGAAATGAGAACATGGTTAACACCAACGAAAACACTAGATATACAAACTGACATCTAAATGATTTTGTATGTTGTTGTAAAACCCCGAAGTTATTTGTAGATGATTTTGGATTTTATTTGATTGTGTATTTATGCAACCTTTTGTCAGGTTTTTAATTCTACCGTATCTGTTGCAGATTCTGTTACAGGAGGACAATCTAGGCGTTGACTACCAGTATAATGTTGCAAAGAACGCCACGATATACAATCACGATGCCACACTGTACACATGGCAACATTCTGTATGGTCGGAGTGCTCACATTCCTGTGGCAGAGGTAAGGTATTAATTTAATATTGAGGGATTGATTTCGTTCAGACCGTGGGATTGAGACGGATAGAGATAATCAACTATTTTAACGAGCTCAGTAATTTAAATATCTTTTCAATTTGTTCATATTATGGTTTACTTATGGTGAAAAAGGAGAAGAACTGAACAGTGTTTGTTTACGATAGGCACTCGTGTGTCCAGCGCGGTTTGTGTTAAGAAGGCTGACCGTCAGGTAGTCGACAATGACCTCTGCACTCCACAACCAAAGCCGAGTGATCACAGTAGAACTTGCAACGATCATCCATGTCCAGCCAGGTAAGTAACGATAATCCATATCCAGCCAGGTATGACAGTCCATGTCCAGCCAGGTAAGTAACTATAATCCATCTCCAGCCAGGTAAGACAGTCCATGTCCAGCCAGGTAAGTAACTATAATCCATCTCCAGCCAGGTAAGACAGTCCATGTCCAGCCAAGTGTGTAACGATAATCCATCTCCAGCCAGGTATGACAGTCCATGTCCAGCCAAGTGTGTAACTATAATCCATCTCCAGCCAGGTAAGACAGTCCATGTCCAGCCAGGTAAGTAACGATAATCCAACTCCCGCCAGGTATGACAGTCCATGTCCAGCCAAGTGTCTAACGATAATCCATCTCCAGCCAGGTAAGTTACGATAATCCATCTCACGCCAGGTATGACAGTCCATGTCCAGCCAGGAGAGAAACAACAACCCATCTCCAGCCAGGTAAGACAGTTCATGTCCAGCCAGGTGAGTAAAGATAATCCATCTCCAGCCAGGTAAGACAGTCCATGTCCAACCAGGTAAGTAACGATAATCCATCTCACGCCAGGTATGACAGTCCATGTCCAGCCAGGTGAGATTCAACAATCCATCTCCAGCCAGGTAAGACAGTTCATGTCCAGCCAGGTGAGAAACAACAGTCCATCTCCAGCCAGGTAAGACAGTTCATGTCCAGCCAGGTAAGTAACGATAATCCATCTCCAGCCAGGTAAGACAGTTCATGTCCAGCCAGGTGAGAAACAACAGTCCATCTCCAGCCAGGTAAGACAGTCCATCTCCAGCCAGGTAAGACAGTTCATATCCAACCAGGTGAGAAACGACAATTCATCTCAAGCCAGGTGAGACAGTCCATGTACAGCCAGGTGAGAAACGACAATCCATCTCCAGCCAGGTAAGACAGTCCATGTCCAGCCAGGTGAGAAACGACAATCCATGTCCAGCCAGGTGAGAAACGACAATCCATCTCCAGCCAGGTAAGACAGTCCATGTCCAGCCAGGTGAGAAACGACAATCCATCTCCAGCCAGGTGAGAAACGACAATCCATCTCCAGCCAGGTGAGAAACGACAGTCCATGTACAGCCAGGTGAGAAACGACAATCCATCTCCAGCCAGGTAAGACAGTCCATGTCTAGCCAGGTGAGAAACGACAATCCATCTCCAGCCAGGTGAGAAACGACAATCCATCTCCAGCCAGGTGAGAAACGACAGTCCATGTACAGCCAGGTGAGAAACAACAGTCCATGTTCAGCCATATGAGTAACGACAATCAATCTCGAGACAGGTAAGACAATTCATGTCCAGCCAGGTGAGTAACGAAAATTCATCTCGAGCCAGGTAAGACAATGCATGTCCAGCCAGGTGAGTAACGACCAGCCAGGTAAGACAGTTTATGTCACACCAGGTGAGTTAAGACAATCCATGTTTTATCCAGGTATGTGAGAATGATCCATGTCCAGCCAGGTGATTAAGGCTTAGATAAACGGCGCACTTTTACTTTCGATGACACGATAGATTAATGATAGTGAAAGTTGGTACAAAGATAGATGAAGACACTTATATTCTTTAACAGAGCAAAGTCTGCCGAAACTCTTGATGGCACCTGTGATGAATGTCTAATACGATGATAACGATTTTTTAAGTAGTAATGAAATATTAACGATGGAAATGTTCTTATACACCGGAATGTGTGTCTATAGCTTAATTATGTAAACTGTCGGACTGAATGACTTATGTGATTTGCAAAAGACATTTTACCAGTTTCTAACTTATTGGTTAAATGCCTGGAGTTGATGTTCGGTAGAAACATTCTACGACCACTGTCATAGTACTAAGAATGCCTTTGGGTATTTGTTAAAGGTTGGTGAATTCATCAACTACTGGTAACAACCTACCAGCCGAGTGTTAAGTCGAATGTTCCCTTTGGAATTGTGGGTGGGTTGAAATTCATTGTGGTCTGTTCTACTGCCATATGAAAATATTGATTCAAACGACATTCTCATTGTTCTGATTTCAGTTGGTCGGTAGGACGCTGGTCCCAATGCAGTTCCACATGTGGTGACAATCGCACGAAGATGCGGAGCGTCACATGCGTCCAGACAATTAGCCAAGAGGAACAGGTGATCCTTCCAGACCAGGAATGTCCTTCCCGAAAACCCAACACAAAGCGTCAGTGTCGCAGCATCACCTGTCCGGCTGTGTGGTTCCCCGATCACTGGAGACAGGTATCATTCTTGGGATGTGATCGATCTAGTTTTATCGCACTACGAAAACCTGGTTGAAATTAAATCTTTGTGAATGAAAAGTTGTGCACGTCCGAATTTTTAAGGTAGAAGCTGTATTTTTCTGATATGGTGTCATGTGAAGCTTGCCGCAGAAAAAAGAAAACATTTTATTGCTTGCAGATTAAAGTTTCACCAAATGTGCTATAAACACACCAAGGCCCTCTACTACCCTGCTTGAAACACATTTCCTGGTTTATGAAAGAAGTGTGCTCCTTTACATTTCATGTGACTTGTTTTTGTTTTTGTTTTCTTCTTTAATAAGTCAAAGTTGATGACATTCACCATTGCCTTGCAGTGTTCAGCGGAATGTGGCATGGGAGAGACGACTCGTAATGTTTTTTGTATGACTAGTGACCGCCAGACCTACCTACACGAGACACAGTGTAGTCAGGAGAAAAAACCACTCACATGGGAAACCTGTATACAGCGGCCATGTCCTCCGCCCAGGTGGGAAACAGATAGTTGGGGACAGGTAAGCAGGTTAAAATCATTTTAGTACAAGTATTTCTATCAACAGTGTTCCATCGTCATTTCCTGTAACTTGAAATCAAAGCTTTTCTCGGGAAAGTTTTATGAGTTCTGTATGGACATTTTAGTGCTCCGCCCGCTGTGGAACCGGCCGTCAGACAAGGAATGTTGTTTGTCGGACCTATAGAGGAGAGAGGAGTAGCGACTGCCTTCCGAGGGACAAACCAACCACAATACAACAGTGTCATAACAACTGTGACTCACGACCTTCCGTCGATGGTGAGTAAGACCTATTCAGGTGAAACATAAAAGTGATAGTTTCTCTAAAAATAATGATTTTCAAACATAATACAACTCTTCTTTAACAAGACATTGTAAAAGCACGGGCTATTTTCTATACACCGTGTGAAAATAACAGAATCACATACACTTATAAGGACCTAATCTATTTCTAGATTGTGTGGACCAGGATAAGGCCCAGTTCTGTCCTCTAGTAGAGAGGTTCCGAGTGTGCGATCGGGAGTATTTCTACCGGATGTGCTGCAGGACATGTGTCGACTCGGGCCAACGGACATACGGTTAAACTAAACGCTAAATGTGGATATTTAAAAAAATCAAATTGAAATAGGAATTATTTCAATGTAACTGAAATGAAAAACAGATGATGGATGGTCACTGCAGATATCGTCGGATGACGTTCGGAAATATACTGGTATTCTCTAGACAGATGACGTTAATAAAAGACGTAAAACGACACTACTGTAATTTAAAGAAGATGTAAATATCAACAACGGAGGTAACTTAAGAAAACTGACATAAATACAAACATTGCTACAAACACTTAAGTTAATTGTAGACAGATGAGGGCTGAACAGTCAATCCCGGTAATCCTAGACAGATGACGTTTATGAAGTCGGCGATTCTAGACAGATGCAGTAAATATATTCAGTGCAGGTTATTCTGGATGAATGACGGAGGAAGAGATAAAGTAGATATTTTTAGACATATGACGTAGAGACAATGAATTTAATTCCGGACCTTTAACATAAATACAGGCAGTTGTTGATTTCGGACATTTGACATAAATGCAGGCGTTGCTGGTGATCCTAGACTGAATTTGGAAGAAAGCAAAACACTGAGGTGATTTGTCGATTGATGAAATGATGAAATAACGAAAGGAAAGTAGTGTCATAATAGCTATATGTAACTTAGATGAAAATCGTCACCACTGTCTATATGTTATATGACCACAGAAAGGAGAAGTCAGGCGAGTAGATCGCAGTTAATTATTTTTTAAGCTTATATGTAAGATAAGTGTATTTCTATACTTGTTTCTATCCGTGCACACATATATATAAATTAATTGTAAGTAAAAAGGAGTTTTACATATATGATGTACATTCAGATAAACAACATTATTGTATAGACGTGTAAAGAAGTTTGGGAATTATTGAAAATTTTCGTATTTATCTTACCAAGGTTAAACGTGACGAAAATTCAACTTAGATTTACTATTATTTGTATTTTATGATTTAGAAAATGTTTTGTTTCGTACGAATTCGAAATTATAATAGAATGTGTACGTTTCGTAGATGTTCTAACAGGTACTTATGTAAGTATATTTATAGCTTGGCAATTTTATCAGAAAAGGCTTGTTTGAAATGATTAATTCTTTACAAGTTAATTAGAATGTTGTATGTATCAAACACAATCATAACATGTCGATATGTTGAAGGGAATATAGAGTCTCCACCAGGAGCTTTACACTGTCTAACTTGCCATAATAAAAAAAAACAAAAACAAAAAAAAAACAAAACAGAAATGACCTTTTCTTGCCACATCTGTCATTTTTAGTTGTTGACACAGAATTTATTCTATTATATTCGTATTGGATTTCATGTAATGAATTAGTATGGATATTTATCAATATAAGCACTTATAACTGTATAGGTATAAATTAAGTCATTTGACTTTTAGAATGTACCAGATTTTTAATTGTCAGCGAGAGAAACATTACAAGATTGGTAATGTAATGTATCACACTATTGAACTACAGAAAAAAAACAGGCATCGCTGAATTATATCAATTTATCGAAATGTTATATAACGAATTATGAAATATGTATAAGGTAGGCGAAATATATCAAATTATGAAAATTCTCAAATGAGCATTAGATTTTAAACCAGCATTGATGAAACCGTCAGTGACGTAATCCTACTCGACGAAAACAATGGATGGAATATATATATATATATATATATATATATATATATATATATATATATGAGAAAAGAACCAGGGGTCGGGTCATATTAATGTGATAATCATCTCTGGAGTAGAAACATTTCAAACAATGGAAGAATGTTTGTGAAAAAAACCCTGTAAGTCGAAGACATCCATTATAATGCATTTATGTCGAATGTTTTGTTTCATTTAAATCGACTTTGGTAAAGCATGTAGGATGGATATATTCTGTTGCTATGAAGTTGTAATATGATTAGATATTAGATGAATTGTGTCCTTATACCATTTACCAGTGAAATGTTTTCATATTTAAAATACTCTTTTTGCTATACCCATGGTCAAAATTTGCGTTTGAATAAGTTATTTTCAAACCTTTATACTCTTGGTATATGTTCATGTTTTGATAAAACTCTACCCTGATGTTTAATAAACGTTATATCAGCAACACACCCCGACTATTATATATATACATATATATATATATCTTTATGTGCATGTTTAAGATGGAGTAGTTTTAATACACACGTTTATAGATTAAAAACATGCCATTCGAAAGTGAAAAGTTGTCTGTTTTACATATGATTGAGGAGACAGTGAAATACTAGTAATGCTGAAGAAAGTCTATGTAATATGTGTTTTGTTGAATTCGCAATTCCCATAAACCATACTCCAGACAAAATAAAATCAAAGTCATTTTATTTCATTTTGTTATTGCGTGGAAAGAGAAATGTTGATAAGGTGACAATATATGAAAACTTATTTGTCTACAATTTCCTTAAGTGATCTCTAGAAAATGACCTAACCTTTTTGATCGAAACATCCAGCCTAAGTCATAATGTCTTTACGGGAACAACCCAAAGAAATAAAAGCTTTTTTTTTTTTTTTTTTTTGAAAATGTAGTTTTATTTAATTGAATATCTGTAAGCAACATGATGCATTGTAAACAAGATGACATATTCGACAAATATAAACAACAACAAAGATACGCATGATAATATATACGTGATATTCAAAATGCTCACAATAATATAATATATATCCTTCATTCGCAATTTTATACATTAAATACATAAGTTTCACGTGAAAATATATAATACAGCTTTTTATTTACAAAAAAAGTAAAGTTATATGGAACTTCATGCAAAGTCTGTTTATTTTTTTTTTTGTCAAAAATATATGATAGATCTTGGGATTGTTTGACTACAATTCTATTACATATATTTTTATATCCTTATCTTCCTTCGTACGTACACCAACGTCTTTAACACAGATATTTCTTGAGAAATATTTCAGTTAGATGATTAGCTTCTCTGAGAAATATAAGATATATAATACATCTGTGAAGGATATATCTATTCAAGTTCAGTTTTCTTTTTATTGTCGATGTTAAACCCACGAGACACATAATTCAGGACAAATGCAGCTGTATGATCGTGTTTAATTCCTTGTTTGGCTCTGCTGTACCTAACTCTAAATTGTGTGTCTTTTGTACAATATTCATACGAAAAATACTTTAGGTAGGTTCATAAGTCGATGAAAATGTCATGCTTTTTCAAGTTTGAACCAACCTTGATATCTATTTTCTCCTTTGGGAACCTACTTTTCATCTTTTTGAAGAATACCTGTTCTCTGTAATTATACTCTTGTGAGGTATATGTAATATGTGTAAGGGATACAGGTTGTGAAGATACTTTCTCCTCGTCAGGGATACGTAGTTACTATATGGGATACTCACCTCTTCTAAGGGAAATCTAGTTTCTGTGAGGGAACCGCAACCAGTGTATGGAAGGATATTTTCACATAAGGTGTTCGTATATCATCTATATTTATGCGGGAAATCGTCTCTGTCAGTCACAAGCACAACAATACGCTTCAAAACATTTACTCACGTGAGTAGTTGTGATCTATAAATGATCCCCCCAAAATATGTTCTCGGTCATAGATATACATTTGAACGTTGAAATCAAATTAGAAGTAAACAATGATATACGGTATTATGAGAACACGCTGTCCACCTTCAGACTCGTTCAACAACTGTTACTCAAATACAGCACTATTTAATGATGTAATATACATCTCGGTAATAAACCTACTTAGAATTTGTTTGAGACAAATATGAATGCTATTGTTTATGTACAATTCACAAAATGTAATCCAGTTCATGATTCAGAAATGAAATCCCACCCACAACTTTCATGATACTAAAAGTACATCAAAACGACTACTACTGTTTTCGTTAAAAGACAATACAATAAAGGTTTATTTACAAACTTTCGTCCAGAAACTGGAAACAATCATCATCGAAGAATAAAATAAAACACCTCTGATTCGCACGAAGTTTATCACATAACTGCTGCTAAAAAGGGCTGAAAGAAAAATAAACATTGCACAAGTAACCAATTTATACAGTTTAGGACAAGTGGTAGTCAGGCGAATCCCCATTGATCTGGGTGACACCATGTTGATATTATCTTGGACAACAACAGCAGAAAGTGTTTACCCAGAAAATACAACTATATTGGATATTTTTAACCTGGAGAATATTTGAATGAAAATATATCAGGTTATTTTATAAATTGAAAATTATCAACATAAAATGTCATGTAAAAATGTAAAATCAAATATATACCGATAGTATGGCGTTTGAAAATGTGCAATATGGAAATATTTTATTATTTATATTATATACCTTATGTTTTCGTAATCTAAACCTTGTTTTTAACATAATAAAACGGGAACTTATTCAAAATAATGTTTTTCACTTTCAAATCCTATCATTATTCGTGATTCATATTTGACTTTACATATCTATACGATTTATATTCAAAACTTTTTTGACATAATCCTTAAGTGTTTGACGTCCATTATATTTAACGTTGTATTTTGGTTTCACAATTTATTTCCTCTTTGGCTTTCTCTGTAGGTGATTCGAAGTAACCACTATCAATTGAAATGGAATTTTCTATTGCACAAAATTTGCATTTAAAGAATAGCGAAAATCACATGGTATCGAATAGTACGGCGTTTGACCCTCATAGGATTTTGTTTTTTTGTTTTTTTGTTTTATTATAGTTGTTTTTGGTTAATGTTTTTGTTGTGGAGGGTTTTGGATAGAGGCAAAATTGATACAGATATGACTAAATTCTTTCTTTTTTTCTTTCAAATAGCTCTCTCCTGACCGAATATTTTAGCTTCAATGTGTCGTTAAGAGTTAAACTAAACCTTTATGTGTCATTCAGCCATTGTACGCTGAGATTGATAAAAGCGTGCTATACAAATGATTACCATTAACAACACTAATGGAATACTCCCTTCAAATAAAAAAGATAACGATTTCCTCAGAAATAACCTGAAAATACCATTAATCATAAAGATGAAATAGTTGAACACAGTAGCATATGATTTTATAAAGTACGAACGTGATGAGTACTATATATTGAGTTGATACATTGCCTCACAACTCCGATATAAACAGACAGAGACGTGGTATATATATATATATATGAGTTAGCAGCCAACCACATACATTCGCCTACTGACTAGCGAACGAGATTTCCGTATGGAAACAATATGCCATCATACTAAACACGAGTTGTCTCCCATTAGCCGTTTTTGGTGAATAAGTAAATGGCAGAAGATATATACATATCATTCAACTGAGGGTCATAAACGTTTGAAGTAATTTGAAAGTGTTTCGATCGAAGTAAGTCTTTCACATTTATCCAAACTTGCTTTCATAATTATGACATTGCATCTCATTACAGTACACCAAAGGCTGTTGAGAGTAAAGAGCGAGTACGTTCACACGAACATCGTTCAACGTTCAGTGGGAGTAATGCGCTTGCAACAATTAAGATTCCCTTCTGTTGATACTGTCATGTGCAGCGTTGCACAAGACCTTCAGTATTGCTGTCCCCGTCGGCAGGTCTACGAAACAAGAATACTGAAGTCGTAAAAATAAACGTCCTTCAACATACTTATCAGCCGCGGGGAAGGACATTCTTCTATTGTTAAGAATCCATTTTTTTAATCGATTGCACAAACCATTAGCATCACCTATCAAGTCCCTGCTTCCAACGAATAGTCAGTGTTTTTTGTCTATAGATTTTCCCTCATATTCATGAATCCTGAGAATGGAAGGTAATTAGTCGTACGAAAGTCCTCATTAACACCGCAGTGCGTTGTACTTATCGACGGTTTGAATGATACATCTCTGATGTGATATATCCTATTTGTTCAGTGAATGGTACCGAACGTAGGTATAACACTGCTTTGATATATAAATATATATATATATATAAGGTTTTTTTGCCGTCAATACAATGCAATACTCAATATGAACCCAGCAAATTATGGGAAGCCACGCAAATGGTCTCTCTTGGTTATCCAAAAATGGTGTACATTGACTTTTGTTTTGTATCCATAAGAAAATGGAAATTTCCATCATAAACATCCACCGGAGCATTTTCATTTTCAGTACTAAGGCCCTTAGCAATAGGGGTCATTTCTGTTGCCATGTCCAACGATAGGATATTCATTGTCTTAGGAATCCTTTTCATCGTCACCAGGAACATATGTAGGTATAAATTGACATACTTCTTACATATAAGTAAACAATTCATCACTAAAAGTAAAAATAGTTTAATTTGAAAACTGATTAAGGAAGCCTCTCGTCTTCCTATTCCTCCGCCCACCCCGCGATACGTGGCGCTTGGGATTCGTTCTCAAAGATGTTACAGAGGACGACGTTGAAGAAGACGTTGATATAAATTGTTCGCATATGAACCTTTTTGACGATTTATTACACAGTTTGTTTTTCCACTTCCTTCTGGTGTTGACCAGAACACAGTTCTTTCGATGTACCGTTCTTCTGACCCGAGGCCGACCTCGAGCCCAGCGCGTGTAGCCGAGGGGCTCTCCATTCACGTATCGCCATATCTTTGCGTTCGCTTTGTCATTTAGTCCTGTAAACAGAAAAAAAGATAACTTACATTGTTATCTATAAGGTGATATTGACTCTTTCGTATTTTAATTACACAAGAATCCTGATTTATTACGTAATTTACATTTATATTTTAGTCCTTATTTGTCATTCTTATTAAATATCAAATCGTGACAGAAATGTAACAGATTTAAGGAAGATCTGTTGATTAAAATCTGAGACAAAATTGAATTTTAGCATTTCAATGAAATAATCCTACCAATCCAGAATGAGTTTTTGCCGACAAGTTTCAAGAGCCATTTGTAGTGGCGACGAGATCGGACACTGGTGAGATGAGAACTATGCGATCCCTGGCAATGATGCTCGGATGCTTCCCAGGACATTTTGTTTTCAAAAAATTTGTAACATCTTCCGTCGTACTCTGACCAGCCTAGAGAAAGTTAATAAAAGATGATTCATGATTACCAGTACTTAATATCAGTAGGAGGTAATTTAACGTACATGATAAACATAAAACAAAATAACAAAAACTGGTAGGATTTTCGTTGACAAGTAGCATACCCTGGCATATATTTCCGTATTTAGAATTCTTTGTATAAACGAATTTCCTTGTCGATATTACTTTGACAAGAACAACTGTTCCAACAAAACATATATATAAAGAAAACCAAAGAAAAAAAAAGATAAAGCAATGCCAATACTATAAACAAGCGATACTATGAATGTTAATTAGATATCAATCACATCGATTATTTACATTGTATAAGAAATACCTTGTTGACATCTTGTTGTTGGTTCTGGTTGATCTTGGTTCGAGTCTGGGTTCCATGATTTCCAGCTCTCGCCGTCACATTTGTACATTCTCTGTGCAAACTCGTCGAAGTGGAGCAAGCCCTTAGTACTCTTGGCACATATTTGTGGTGCCTATGAAAGGTGAAATGTCAAGTAAAACTCGGTGATTTAGCAGGACAAGACCGACTAGGATAATAAATCAGAAACATTTATCCCTTAATGGAATAATCAAAGCACATCAATGGCATCAGTGTTGTTTGAAGTCATGATAACCGCTGATGTGGCATTTTCAATTGTCAAAATAAACTCACATGAATGGTAAGTACATTAAATAGGTGAACCTATGAATCTTGTGTTTCAAGTAATATTCAGGTCAAGTGAATAAACAAAATGTTCCTTGTGTTCTCAATGTCTATATGACATTTTTTATTTCGTTTATTGCACGAATTTATTTTTTCACGTGCATTATTTACAACCGTATCGGATATTGATTTGCAAAGAGAATTTTACAGCGACTTTTAACAGCTCTCAAAAATATTCTTGATAATTAAGCATTAAGTGGATACAAGATATTTGGTACTGCTCATTTTGTAGAATAACAAAATACTGATTATGTAGCGTAAAAATGAAAAATTATCCTCATTTTTATGTAAATAATTGTCTGTTACCTGTATTTTCTGTGAAGCAGTTGGTAGATTTGTGAAGATTAAGTCAGGATCTTGCGGTTGTCCATTAGACTGTGGCTGATGGTGTTTGTTTCTCTTGGATTTCTTGATATTACCGTGCCGCCTCCTCTTTTTAGATCTACTCCTTCTTTTACCTTTCTTTCCCTTCCTTCGCGTTGCCGCCGTTTCGTTTTCATTGTTCCTGTTGGATGTGTCCGATGAGGACGATGATTGTTGTGACGAACGTGAAGCCGTGACGGATGACCTCGCCGCAGAGTTAGACGAGGACAAAGTCTGTGCTGGGTCAGTATTGTAAGTACTGTCGAACGGACTTGACGTGTCTATCGGGTTGATATTATGAAACTGCAAAATGACAAACACAGAAGGTTTAACAATACACCCGATCACAGTGGACGTTTACTTAGGCTCAGCAAATAAGTTACTTTTCGTTGAGGCTAATTTTTTGGGTTTTCTTAAAACACGGCGTTAAACAGGGAAAACGTAACATGGATATTTAGAACTAATGGAATTTGTACCCATTATTGGTTAACGAAATTAATTGTTGATGAAATTCGTTTAGTAAGTTGTTGTATATAAATATATTTAATCACACGAAATTTATCCAGTTATACCAATTATTGCTTTGTTTTGCATCTTAAAAGATGTCACATTGTAGTTATTGATAAGCGATGAAGTAATTTCTAATGCATATTGACAGTAACCTGAACTTATTAAAGGAAAAAAAACTCGTATAATAATAAATAGCTTTAATTGATCTCAGTGATATTAAAATATATCAAAATAAATGAGTCGGATATTCCGCTGAATGTAGCAGAATATTGTACTTACAATCGTTTCCGTTTCGTCGTTGACGTCACTTCCTGGGAGCAAGAATCCGTCACCTTCGTTACTGTCAATGTTATGTTTGCTTATCATGCCAAAATACTGGGGGCATTCTCCTGGAATAGATGAGGTCACAGGATTGTACAACATGTTCATACACGAGATGCCTCGTCACGAAATATTTGACCTTTATAAATCAAACATTACTAGAAGCACTTGGCAAAGACATCGTTTGTACAACAATACCGAACAGTTATACTGAAGCATTCTCGATGTATACGAGCATTACGATTTAATATATTACAAGGAGATGAAAGCAAGCTCAGATATCAATGCAAAGCCTGTGATTTTCATAATACGAGAAATTATACCGACAGCCCTGACTGGCTAACAGAGAAAGAATCTGATACCTATCCCTGATGTTCAACGAAAATCGCAAAAAAAACAAAAAAAAAAAAAAAAACAAACAAACAAACAAACAAACAAACAAACAAAAAATGATTAGGTCTTATGAAATAGCTGTCTTTAAATTCTCTTACCATTTTCAGAATTGATAACCCTAACGCTGGCTTTGTTGTTCTTTCCTAATACGGCATTAACTGGTTCTTCAAGAGCGATCCTAAATTTCTCAGTATTCTCCAGCAGGTTATCATCACGGATAAGAACGTCCCATGTCGCCCTAGCCACACCTACATAAAAATGTTTATCGTTAGCTGTGTATATATGGAGTGAAATAATTAGTAAAATTCAAGTGAAAAAAGATTGGACAGCGAAAATGCAGAGTAGGTGATGGGAACCCTTTCTATGGTGACTCCTGATAAGTGCACCAACCATTTCAAATTCTTCCCGAGTACCAAAAATATGCGTCCTCGTCAATAAAAGCAAGTTACAGAACCTGTTGAAGGAACGAGATGTTTACACCAATTCAAATATCAAGACTATAAAAAACAAACATAGCGGCTCTGAAATAATTAACCGAGAAAGTGGCTCCTCTCTGCTTTGGTGTCCCGTTTGCAATTAACATCGGAGCGGTAAAGAGGGTTATTATGCATCTCCTGGACAAAAATATGTCTAATGGGGTAAGCATTGTTTTTCGTGCGTTTATATGAAATAACAACCATATTGACAAAGTGCTGTGGATGAAATGGGAAAACATTATCGAAAAAGGCAGGACTTTTTTTTAAATTCCATCAAGATCTATCCTGTGATGCATCGCTTATTAGTTATCTTTTAAAAAATATAGAATCATCGGGAGCCAAGCTGTCTTGTCTATGCTAATCTATCTATGAACTCCTTGTTCACAGACCATATAAATATATTTTTATATTATAAGATATGATGAATCAATGAAAATCAGGTTAAGAAGCGAATAATTGATTGTATTTACATTCTACTACTGTGAAGTAGATAATTAGATAAACGAACAATCCTGTAAGTCGAAATAGATTGATGTATAACAAAGTATTTTTCTTTTTTCCTTAAGTTATGACATTGTTGTGCTGTTAGATATTAATTCAGTTTGAAGGAATAAGTTTGAATTATACAGAGTAATAGCACCAAATGATAAGGAACTAGTCGATTACTTAACCTTGTCCATTCAGGTGTAGTTAAGGGTTTAAAAGAAAAAAAATGCTTAATTTATTTAGTTTAAATACCGATGGTAAGAACCTTCATAATACTTTGCAAAACCTTATTATTCTTAAATAAATAATACCAATATAATCACTACTCAGATATACCATACCTGGATTGAACTGGACTTGCTGAGCCGTGCTCGGAATGAAGTCTTGTCCTTTTTTGGCCGACATATCGAATACTTTAATGCCGACAAATGCCATCTGGTCAACAGCTCCTTGTCTCACCAAGCGAATGCTTAGAGTTCCGATGTTCTCACAGACAATCATACGGGTCTGGGAAAAACTGATGATCGACCATTTAAGTGAGAAACTGAAACATAAATACAAACATACACGATCAGGAATGATTCAACAATACAAGACAAATTTAAATGAAATATAATATTCTTTACAGGAGCTATTAATGTTAAATACACTTTCACTAATAAGCGCAGGGGATCAATTTCAAAATAAAAAAAAACAGGTCGTCGGTCGGCGCAATGGTACCACACGCGCCTTTCACCTAACCGTCTGGGATCTGATTCCCGGAACGGACGTGAAAAGGTATTGGTCACCTGCCCGACCACGTGGGTTTTCCCCGAGTACCCCGGCTTCCTCCCACAGTACGACCACTAGCGCGCTTCTATACTGGTCAACAAGAGTGATTATTAAAAGCCGATAGCTTGTTTCGCAATTGTTGAAAAATAAAAAAGTTCATATCAGATGAAAATAACAAAAATGAAGATGAATCACCAATTTTCTTATAATATAATAATGTATAATATGAAATACTTTCTCTAGTTGCTTATACTAATAAAACTGACGAGGAATTTTTAGCAACATATTTTCGTGGTTGGCACTATATTTGAAATATATCTGAAGATATCTAAGTCTGTGTAACTTACACTTGATTGTCCAGGGTGTTTCCTCTCGAATCTATCACACGGAACATGAAAGAGTCATTTGTGGCCCTTGTCCTTGAATTCAGGACATAGCGAAGATCGTTATCGTTCAAATCCTCCTGTGAGAACTTCCTTCGAATGTAACGTTTTGTCGCCGTATTTTCGATCTGTCCATGAAGTGGCCGTTTTGTCATAATGAACATCAAGTTTTCATTGTCTGTGTCGGAATCAACAACCTTTAGGTTTCTGTTATTCAAGCGGAAACCGTATTTCCCTTTTCCAAAATGCTCAAGGACGTCAGGATGACTTGAGACTAGTAATTTCGGAGCATCGTTAGCAATGGGCTTAACAAATACACTACAAATGACAGGTGTAAGTTGTAAAGTACCATTGACGAGAAACCCACTGTGTTTTCCGTCACTTAGGCTGAAGAGAAAGTTGTCCAAACCAGCATGGGAGCCGTAGCTTTCATATATAACGTGCCCTCTGTCTATATCAAGTTGTGTGAAAGACTGTGTGATGACAATACCACGGTTATAAAGTAGACCGAACGTTGGAGGTTTCGCTAATAAGTAGGTAACATTCATATCTGCAGTGTCCGGATCCTGAGCCCTTAAAAGGTTCTGTGACAAAACGACTTCACCACCCTGCACAACCTCGATAAGATTATTCGTAATCAAAGACGGAAGGACTCTATCCAATGGCTCAATGTTAATCCTAAACTCGCCGTCTTTGGCCTCACTCAAGCCATTTGTTACGGTAAATGTAAATGAATCGTCCGTGATATCACTCTTCGTTAAGTGATTATATACTATCCTCTGAGCGGCAAGATCCATTTGTGTGAAACTACTTATACTAACCAGTGGTCGGTCTATATACTCGATCTGTCCAAGCGTTGGCGGCCGAATAATGGCGAAAACAATTTCGTCGACTTTTGTACTTTCGTCCGTTGCACTTAGACATGTTGTTGTGATAACTGTTTTGTCTCCCTCTCTCACCTCCAGCCCTTTGTTGAGCAAAGCCAAATTCGTTTTCATGGAATTTCTTATAAGAATTTCAAAGGTTTCTATTTGCCTGTTGTTAATTCCATCCGTTAACATAAACTGAAAACTGTCAGTTTCAGCGTTACCCATACTGTTTGTGTGAATGTAGCGAATCCTGTTCATGTCAATGTCATGTTGTGTAAAGTTCATCCTCTCAGACATATCTTCACATTCTGATGATCTCGCAGGAGTGAATGGGTCGGTACAGAACTGCAGGAATCCCTTCCTTGGTACTGTAGCAAGTACATAGTATACCTCATTCTCGCTGTTATCTGGGTCCATGGACTGTAACACAATGCTAGATATGAGGCCGTAGTCTCCATACTCAATCTGCAGGCCGGCGTTCTTCGTTATCTCGGGCACCTCGTCATTAATGGGTGTTATTGTGATGTTACATATTCTTTTCACCTCGTATCGTCCATCTGACACTGTCACCGCAAACCTATCTCTGAAATTTTCCGAGTGATCATGTCTGTATTTTAGTTGCATTCCACTGTGGAGTTCGTCGACGGTGAAGTCTGCGACGGCTGATTCAATATTTCCGTTGTCTGTGGGAAGCAATATTACTATGTCACCATGTTCGGGCTCCTGTGATATAGACAATGTGATTTGATCCTTTGGCATATCCATGTCTATCGCGTCCAGCATTGTTTGGTCTATTATCATGTTCTCACCTTCATTTAGATACATGTCTTGTATCATGAGATCTGGAACCTCGTCGTTCTGCGGATCTATCCGAATCACAAAAGTCGCCTCGTCCGATTTCAGAGTTCCGTCTGTAGCATATAACGTAAATTCGTCATACACGGGTTCCACACCTCTGTGTGTCGCCTGAACATAACTGATTGTTTCGTCAATCACATCCTGAAGCTTGAATGACATGATCCGTCTACCAGCGTTACTTTTCTCCGATCCAGGTCGTGGTTTTCTATTTTCTAGATATCCCCATTGAGGTTGATTTACGATGAAAAACTGGATGTCTTCAGGTGGAGTGTCTGGATCTTTCGCCGTCAGAACGTCGGGAACAATCTCGAAACTCCCTCCTTCTGGCACTTGTACCTGTTCACCTGTGATGATCGTAGGGCGGGAATTGTCGACAGGTGTTATCGTGATGTTCAAATCATAGTATGGTAGATCAGCAGTGCCCATGTATCTTTGGTCTGACACGATCAGAGTCATGGAGTCCTTAAGTACTGTTGTACCGATCTCTCCTCCAGTGTGAATGTATTTCACCATCCTGTTTTCTACGTCCTGTTGAGTGAATTTTACAGTCGGTCGATCGTCAAGACGAAGGATTCCATACTTCGGCTGTTTAACAATAAGAAAAACGAGCTCCTGATCATTTGTATCATCATCCGTAGCAGAGAGGACTTGAGGGGAGATCACTACCTCACTTCCCTCTGACACAATCAGTCGAGGACGTAAGTTGTCGCGGAGTTGAGGTGCTTGGTCGTCGAGAGGAACAATTTCCACAGAAAACACTTTGGTCACTCTGTTGACGCTGTCCGTCAATGTTAATGTGAATGTGTCCTGCGTGCCCTCTGCACCATCATGAATGTACCTGTAGAGTATACAATTATCAAAGAATGTTATATTTTTGTTGTAAAGTCAAACTAAGTTTACAGGACAGGAGTGCAGTAATTTGGTTCAATATCGCCAATAAGGGTTATACATTTAGCTGCTGTTTTCTTTTGCTCAGAAGCTAACATATTGTTTTTGGTTTTTGGTTTTTTTACACATTAGGACAAAAATGCTGTCAATTCCCCATAACAGCTAAAATTCATTTCGGACACAGTTGACTATCAGAAAAATATACAATTTAAGAAAAATAACGAGACGCCAAGAATATATCGATTTTTTAAACATAATTCGATTATGTGATTCGGCGGTTATGCAAACAACGAATATTTAACAAGGTTGGTTAGGAAGTGAACAAAAATCCGAAAAAAATCTCGAAGTGACTTACTTATGCCATATTAATATATGTTAATTATTTAGTATTGGATAAGCAGTATAGCGAAAACATTTTTATAATCGATCCCATAGCTCCTGATTGAGAGTCATTTTATACGTTTGAGATATTGCAAAAAAGTTCGCATTTTACTTGTCATTTGAAAGATATTGTGCATATTATGCTGCCGTTAGCTTGTAATCCATTGTATTTACCTGACATTCTTACTCTTCAAGTCCTCCATATGAAATGTACCTCCTTCGTTCAGAGTAAGCCCATCTTTCTGCAGAACTCCAAAATTCGGAATTTCATCAAGGATGAATTCGAGATCGGCCTCAAGTGTATCCGAATCAGTAGCGGACAGCTGGTTGACTGACAGACCAAGGATACCACTTTCCTCGACAAGAAGTTTGCTGCTGACAAAAGCTGGTGGTTGGTTATTAACAGGCTGGACATCAATTTCGAAATATTGTCCGAGTACTTGGTTTCCGCTGGAGTCTTGTACGGTATACACAAACCGTACAAGTCGGGCTTCAGGACCAATGTCGTCCATGGGAGGCATGTAAGCGATCTTCATATGGTTGATATCGGCTTGTTTAAAAGTCTGAACTGCAGGAATGGACGCGTTCTTGGATACCACTGTCAGGTTATGTGTCTGGATAAGTTTACCTGCGTCTTCATAACCAGAATTGTAGACAAAGAATGGTGATGAGGTAATGATATACGTCAGCTCATTATTTTCCGTTTCGACATCGGTGTACTCTAGTTCCGCCTTGGTAATGTAGGCGGTGTCAGTCTCCGAAACATGGATAAGTCTGGTAGCTTGTGGCGCCAGTTGAGGCGGATTCTCATGGACTGGGTTGATATTTATATGAAATGTTTCTATAACTGATCTATTAGGAGGGTCTTCATGGTCTCTTACTTTAAACTGAAAAGAATCGGTGAATACCTCATGACCGAAATGATGATAATATATCTGTCCTTTCAGAAGATCTCTCTGTACGAACTTATTAATTCTTGTTCCCGTGTCGCCTGGTCGTAGTCTGCGGATAATTTCACCGGCTTTAGGTGGATGTGTAATGATAAATACTATATTTCGGTCAACAGAGTCGGTATCGTGAGCTAACAACATTTCCGTCGTGAAAGGTTTTGTATCACCCTCATTGATGTCCATGTCGACATTGTTTATGAGGTAGGGTGGACTATCGTCTTTAGGTATGATAGTTATTGGGAAGTTCACAAGAACCGTGTTGACGCCATCACTGATTCGGAAAGCTATGAAGTCCTTTGTCGTGTCACTGTCGTCATGGTAATAAATGACAGATCTTCGTTGAATATCCTGCATAGTGATGGCGATCGCACGGCGGCCATTGATTTCAAGGCGACCATACTTTAATCCACCTGTAACATACAATCTGACACGACTCAGGTTATCCCTGTCCACGATCTGTAAATCGTCCGTAGTAATAGCTCGGGACTGTCCTTCAAGAAGAACGATGCCCTTGTTAAAAGATACGCGTGGTGCATTTGTTGCGGAAGACCGGACTGCCATGTGGAGCGTGATTGGCATACTCTCTGAAAAGTGGCTATCGAAAACTACAAATTCGGCTTCATATACTCGTTTGTTTGTGTTAATACTGGAATCTGGAGGTTGATAGGCAATTCTGTGATTTTCCAAATCTTCTTGTTTAAATGATGTGATAATCGTTGTGTGGTCATCCAGACTGACGAAGAAACCCTCTCCCTCTGCTGGTGGTCGACTGATATTGTAAATAAGCTGATCATTTTGTGTTTCATAGTCTTCTGCGGCTATCACACCAGGAATGATCGTTGAGAGGACAAATTGATCAACGTCCATCATGTACATGCTCATGAAGGAAGAACGTGGCGGAGTGTTGGGAATCGCGCCTTTGATATGTATGGGCAAGTAGTAACTCTCAATTATCGTCTCATCGCTAATTGAAGGGTCAGTGAGTTCAACCTTCAATGGGAGGTAGTCTACATCCGGGCTTGGTCCTCGCAGATGTTCATAGTGAAGATGCATGTACATGAATTCACGGCAACTTCGCTTCAAAGCGTTAACTCTTTCCCGCCTTTCTCCCATCACAATTTGTCCAGCAATAGGCCAATGTGACAAGTATTTGGAAAAGGACACCACACATGTTACATTTTGTATTCCGCTATGGTAGAATCGAATGACGGATGCATCTATCGTGTTTGAAATTCCGTTAAATTCAGGAACGACTACTGATCTCAGTCCTCGGGTTAAAACTACTCTACTGGTAGTGTTAACGATTTCAACATTCATGTAGAACGTTTCAGATTCGGTCACTGTCGGTGTAAATCGGTAGACATGTAGTTTGATGCGGTCTTCCCTCAGTAACGGCGACCCACTGTGTGTATATTTGATAGTGTTAGGTAAGTAGTCACAGTCAAAAATCTGGAATGGCAAAAACAAACGGAACATGTTATTGGACTTCCGCATAATCCTATAACGTTATATACTATATAACATGTAATATACTATATATATATACATATAGAAAATAAAGTTGTCTTGTTAAGCTTTATCGGACATTACCGTCTACAACGAAACTTGTGTGCCCATAAATTTGGTCATAACTTTATAGGTAATTTTATTAGAAAATTCGACATAAAGTGAAAAAGCAAACCATCACTGGATCGAACTATTCGAAAAACTGAATGGTCATGTTATCATCAGCATCGGTCCTAGGTAGACGTATTTCTGGTAACGCAACGTAAAGTAGACTGTATTCCGAGTGACGAGCGTAAATTAGTCGTGTTTTAGCACCTAACAAAATGTCGTTATCGTATCATTGCTTTAATGAAAACGCACTATGATGACATGATTTCAAGGTCGTTAGAAAAAGCGATTGCCTTTGTCTCGACTTATTGATTGGCTGGTACGTACTAGGCCATTCCGATCCCCCTGTCATCCATCATGACATACGGGAATGTATGGTCGCTACGTGAGCGCCTCCGCATCATTTGTACCATTGTATACTTATATACATTATTTATTTGAATCCATTTGGGAAAACTAAATACGTCTCGGTGTTAGAGATGGCCAACACACTCTAGAATGGTCGGAAGGAGCTAATGTGATACTCTTAAAGGGATATGTTCTACATTATGTGATTCTTCAGCAGGATATATGTATCTATCTATGGTAAAAATTAAAAGTTAGTATCCACAAATATCACTCCATTTCTAGACAAGCCAGCATTTGCTAATTTATACCTATCTAACACCTATGTAGGTATATCATTTTCGACAATATCTGTCTACGGGTTTCTGTCACTAGAAAGTAACGCCCTGCGATGATAGAATCAATACAAATATGATTTTCCAATTTTACTTAAATTTTTGTGGATTTAATTAAAAGGAATGTCCATTAATCACATGTAAAATAAAGGAAATTAAGTTGATGATTTTTTTTCTCGGATAGACAACAGAAATTACCAAGATAGACAGTGTATTACTGTTATCTCGGTAAACATACATGTCTTCTTGTCTCTCATGTTGCTTTAAACATTGGTAGGTTACGCAAATCTATTGACGGGCTTCCGCAATTAATAAATACTCTGCCAGGGCGAATAACTGGACGTGTTTGTCGTAGGTAGGGGGAGTATCCGTGGGGGTGGGCATGTTTACCAGAGTCAGCTGCAGGTGTCCTCCGAGTAAAGATTCGGACGGAACAAGGTTATCAATAGACGGTGGTAGAGCGTCTAACACCGAGGTAGCTCTCTCCTTATGATCACATTGTCAGGTGTTCTGACTTGCATCTAGTTGCATTAACGGCTAAAAATTGTCTGTTTGTTTGTTATGAAATAATTATTTCTTTCGAAATATGTCTAACAATAAACATGTTTTTTCGCTGATAATAGCAATTTATGTATGTTTAATTATAAAGTACTCCGATGTTGTTTGATATAGATCTTAAATTTCACCGAGAAATGTAATGGCTAATGTGCTCTCTTATGATACACGTACGGTATGTGTAACAATACACAACAGAGTTCGGGACTGATTTCTAATACACGATCCAAATCGTCTTTCCCCATACCACGTTTAGTCCAGGTATTTGTCAATCGAACTGCCATTTTCCTGTTCTAAAATGCCAAATTATAAAAGGCACTGGTTAGCCTCTCCACACCAAATTTCCATGACGTTAAGGCAGTCGTTCAGTTTCTAAGAGACAAGAGTACAATGCTACAGGACAAGGTTACAAAAAGTAACAATATAATTAATTATAAACAAATTTCCTTTGACATCCTCCTACTGACTTCTCGTTAAAGTAACATGTAAAGGGTTCCTAAGGAAATAACTGTCAGCTCGACCTATTAAAGGTTACAACTCTACTTGTGTGGTATAGAGTTACTTGGTATTTCAATCAAATATTTACGACTAAAACCTTGTTTTCGTTACACTTTCAGAGAGTTAATGTGCCAGACTGCATCAGATAAGCTCCAATCGTTTAGTGAATATGTAAATTTGATCGATCACCTGCACTTTAAAAGTAGAATGAAAGAAAAAGCCAATTAAATTTCGAAAGTTGTGATCAATTTCTTGATTTGCTTTACTTTTTCGGACAATAAAATGTTTTTGCAATGAAAAATTCAAAATTCTGTATCAGAGATAATCAACTGCTGAGCACTACAGCATAGATCTTTGAATAATTGATAGCGTTCGATTTTTAGGATACAAAGAAATGGAATCGAGATCAAAGCGAAGCGTCGTGTGCAGCTCATGTTACTGAAGTTAGTGATGGGAGAATCGCATGTTGGTCCTCTGTTGTCACGGTTCAAACACAATAAAGAACCTTATTTGAAAGTCTAATGACTTTATAAATAATGTAGATGCTGTAACATTCCTAATTCTTACATTATCATTAAAGTAGTACTCTGAAAGAATAAAAATGCTTTCACACTGTCTGTCTGTCGGTCTGTTATGCTTTACTATGCAGGAAAGTAAATATGTATATGAATTTATGAAAGTCTTTTCTTCTCTCTCTCTCTCTCTCTCTCTCTCTCTCTCTCTCTCTCTCTCTCTCTCTCTCTCTCTCTCTCTCTCTCTCTCTCTCTCTCTCTCTCTCTCTCTCTCTCTCTCTCTCTGGATTTTTTTCTCATCCAGTGAAAGTATCATATTCTTAGGACGGTTAACTTCCTAACAATAGAAAATAAAGAAAAATTCACAAACGAAAATGAATATTCTGTACATTTAATTTCAATACTTGTATTTTTATTGAAAACAGGGAGAAATTGACACCATACCAACCTTCATTAAGTATACGATAGTGGATGTAGCAGACTGACTTTGAGATGTAAATCGATGTGTGGATATATTCTTCTCCTTCCTCTATCATTATCGGCCTATAGCATTTACACGCCCTAAGTAAAACAACCATTATCGTAAATACGTGGACACAGGATTAACTTTTGTAAAGAGTTTAGCAAAGCAATTTATTGCTCGCCAACCCTATACGTTTTGGAGTTAATGTATAGTTAGCCTAATTGTATACTAACGCTAAATGCATCGCTAATTGGCTATCGGGATTGTACACATTCCCGTCTGTTTCATTTAGACTCAATTTGCCTGGTGACCCGACCAGATTTAATGAGAAAGCCTTGCGTTATAAAACATCGTTCGCGTCAGGTAGAAACCTTAGAGAAGAAATTGGTCTTAAAATGCCATTTTCCTGTTTGTTCTCGTGTGTGCGATAGAGCTATTCTTTTCAAGGAAACTTTCTTATTTATACATTAATTAATACCTAAATAATTGAAGTATTTTCCGTACGTCTTTATCTCGAGATAGTAAGTAGTTTGTTGAAATTTACCGTCTAGTAACGGGATAACTCCTTAATTATAATCCTTGTTTTGTGATGTGGGTGATCGGTTTTAACCACAAAGTTAAGTCTCCCCTGACTTCACGACGTTGTATCACAATATTACAAATGCCATATTCTCATTCTGATAAGACTTTGAAACTAATATCTTTTTAATGGAAAAAAAAAGGGCGATCATAGGTTAACCAAACTACTTCTATCAAGTTCATCTACACTATCTACACTTACCTCATGTTTTAAATACGAAAATGTATTAAAGTTGTGCTACACTTTACCTGCGCTACATGTATTTTACCTATGCGACAACAGGTGTTACATATGTATGAGAAAGATTTTACAAGGCTTACTGCCGAAGTTGATTCGGTACACTTTGATGGTCATTTTTGGTAACGTCACTAACAGTGAAATTATTATCAAAGTTACACCGACAGAAAGGTTGGAGAAAGTTTAGAAAAGCTTTTTGCTTGTAGATATTCAATAGGTTTTTGAAAAGGGTGTTTTAAATCTATAAGTTCAAGTAAACACACGAACGCAGTTTTTATAAAGTTCAATGCGCCGTCAATGTAAAAGCGGTGACTTTGCAGGTGTTTCATATAAAAACGCTGACATAACACAGTTAATTGTTTAGCTGTATTTTTTTCTCATAAATCAAAACCTTCTGCGAGAAGCTGAGTAACAGGTATGTTTACAACAGGTGGGTGATTGCTAGCTTTACACCTTTTCGAAAAACACAGGTGAGGTTTTATCAAGAACATTTCAATTAACACAACACGGACAATTACAAAATGAAAGAGTAAGTCGACAACCAAAAATCAAGGCAAGATTTTCATGTAAATCAATTTTTTTTGTATTTTCGAATAATTTATGGGGTGAATATCAGTTGTCCTGTATTTATGACGTTATATATTGTGCTTTGTGATACAGCAGTTTTTCTGTCTCTTGCCGAGTTTTCTGTGTAGTTGTATTACATGCATATCAAACATTTTGATGATTTCTAGTGGAACTTTTGTAATTTGTGTTGACCGATGACTGTTTCCTTAATACTTTATTTGGTGGTGTAATACCTCACGCGCCCTCCCACAAATGTTCATTTCAACTCGCACGGCAAATACAACGCTAGCTTTACACACACAATGGCATATTTGTATGTTAAAATATCTCTTTAAAACTCAAATATTGACACATGTACACAATTAAATATCAAGGTGATACCATATAAACCTCATGTTTGTCATTAAATTAGGGGAGGCAATGTATTATGCACACCTGTGGTCCCTTTAAAGGGTCTATCAGTGATCCCCGGCCAGGAATCGGAGGGGGCCCCCACTTCGCTTATTGACAATGGGACCTACCCTGGGTAGAACGTCTTCGTTGTAATGTGTATGTTTGTATTTAACACAATACAACATTACACAGATATACATAATAATTTATTATCAATTAATCAAGGAGTGATCACCTAGCTAGCTTCTAATCACTCCTGTAATAGGCCCAAGGACTCTCCAGCAGAGATTTGTATAATCTGTATCATAGGATTCATCAAAGATCAATTACAAGACCGAAGCTTTTTTCTT